CTTCAGGGGCGATTTCTTTTTAACTTTGCTGATCAGGGCATCACCGATGACAATGCAACACTATCTCAATTTCAAACAGTCAGTGCGTTTTAAAGCTTGCTATTGTAAAGGTTTTTATTTACGTTATCTTTCAGAATTTTTTTAACCCGTGTATGGCTGATAGTTGGCCTTGCTCGCCTGTCAATTTGTGGGTGTGTCTGTTGTGGGTGTGTCTCTTGTTTGTCACACTGACCGCTGGCTCAGGTTTGTGTCGGCCTCAAGGTCAGGGTGACCGTGACATTGTTACAGCGGGCTGCTGTACGGGTCATGTCACACCTTGCAGGTGTTGTGGCGGCTGGTAGCGATGTGAACGTTCTGGTGTTGGCTAGTGGATCAGTCTGGTGGATCACTGGTGTCTGGTGGATCACTGGTGTCTGGTGGATCACTGGTGTCTGGTGGATCACTGGTCTGGTGGATCACTGGTCTGGTGGATCACTGGTCTGGTGGAGCACTGGTCTGGTGGATCACCGCTCTGGTGGATCACTGGTCTGGTGGATCATCGGTCGGGTGGATTACTGGTCTGGTGGATCACTGGTCTGGTGGATCACTTGTGTCTGGTGGATCACCGATCGGGTGGATCACCGCTCTGGTGGATCACCGCTCTGGTGGATCACTGGTCTGGTGGATCTCTAAAACCTTGCGGTTGGGTCACTGTGGTTTGGCCATCTTAACTGTGGTCTGGCCATCTTAACTGTGGTCTGGCCATCTTAACTGTGGTTTGGCCATCTTAACTGTGTTCTGTCTGGCCATCCCTCATGTAACACTTCCCCTTCACTACCCAATCCATTCACTACCATCTCGCTAGTGTGGACAGAAAAGCATCGTTATCAAAAACAGAAAATGATACACTTTAATTCCGATCGATTGTGCGATCGATAAACGAAATGCTACCCTTCTCAGCGGCCACTGACCCCGCCTCAAATTATCCGTTTAGCCTCCCTCATTAATTTAGCATGATATGTCAAAGTTTGACATTATATCCGCATGGGCTAGATTTTTTTTTATTTTTTTTCCTTGTGTTTTAGTCAGCTTTTCTTTCTACATAACAACTTTTCATCCCCGCTGTTCCTAGCTTAACTGTGAGCTAATTTATGTGTTTATGAAACTGCCAAAATTCACCTGTTGTGAGTTAAACACGGTGATATTTACTCCGTCCTTGATTGACAGTGCACTTTTAAACGCGCGTGTCTGGACCCAGCCAACCAAAACCGTCCGTCAGGTCACATGACATCAGAAGTGGGCGTGTCCGGAAATGACATCCTGCTAGCTCGGATGTCGTAAACCGATGGGTCAGAGGTTAGGCATGACCCGGGACGTATATTGTATGCGCTGATCAACACTGAATCGTAAATACCTTGGGTTTGTCAGTGTGTAACCTCATGATGTGATAACAGTTAGGAGTGACTTCCCTTTTTGTTTATGTTTTTAACCTGGCTTCACTCTGGTAATAAGATAATAAATTATTAACCAGCCCTTCCTAAAAGCACTGAGTCAACTTACTGTTTTATTAAACACCGGTATTTTTTTTTTATATCAGACCACTTCCCCAACCATGCCTATTCCCCCCCCCCCCCCCCCCCCCCATATTTAAGTAGGCTTAGACTTAATTTACAAAAACACTGGGTGTTGTTTACGAGAGGAGCAGGTGGGTGCACTGTGGCGGTCCCATGGTGCATCATGATGCTGGATCAACACACCTGGTTAACTGCGTGACCCCTTGTGTCAGAGGTCAAACTGGTGTCGACCTTGACTGTCGTGACCTCCATCGTTGATGGTTGATTTGCTTTTCCAAGTTTAAACTTAGGTCACAATATGCAGTGTCTGGTTGTTGTCGAACATTGTAACTTAGTTTTACGCTCATACCATCCCATTCATCAGATTTCATCCATACCATCCCAACCATCAGATTTCATCCATACCATCCCACCCATCAGATTTCATTAAAGCCATCCCACTCATCGAATAACATCTGTTTTATTTTGTTTCAGTCCTTCCAGGGAAGTCAAGGACGGGCGTACCTCTTTAACTCTGTGTAAGTATAGATGTCTCAATGTATTGGTACCTGTTGCCTACCTGTCTGTTGTATGTCTTGCACCTGTCTGTATGTCTTGCACCTGTCTGTATGTCTTGCACCTGTCTGCCCTACTCTCCTCACACCTGTCTGTTGTATGTCTTGCACCTGTCTTGTATGTCTTGCTCCTGTCTCTTGTATGTCTTGCATCTGTCTGTTGTATGTCTTGCTCCTGTCTGTTGTATGTCTTGCTCCTGTCTGTTGTATGTCTTGCTCCTGTCTGTTGTATGTCTTGCACCTGTCTGTTGTATGTCTTGCACCTGTCTTGTATGTCTTGCTCCTGTCTCTTGTATGTCTTGCTCCTGTCTGTTGTATGTCTTGCACCTGTCTGTTGTATGTCTTGCATCTGTCTGTTGTTTGTCTTGCTCCTGTCTGTTGTATGTCTTGCACCTGTCTGTTGTATGTCTTGCATCTGTCTGTTGTTTGTCTTGCTCCTGTCTGTTGTATGTCTTGCTCCTGTCTGTTGTATGTCTTGCACCTGTCTGTTGTATGTCTTGCACCTGTCTGTTGTATGTCTTGCACCTGTATGTTGTATGTCTTGCATCTGTCTGTTGTATGTCTTGCACCTGTCTGTTGTATGTCTTGCACCTGTCTGCCCTACTCACCTCACACCTGTCTGGTACCTGGTCCCATTACTGGACAAGTGCCTAATTGGCCTACTGATTGATTACCCTGGAAATGGCGTCAGCCACGTGTCCTAGTTGGACGTCATGCTAACTAGGCTAATACTCATGGCCTTGATGACCTATCCACTTGTCACATGACCTATACACTTGTCACATGACCTATCCACTTGTCACATGACCTATACACTTGTCACATGACCTAGCCACTTGTCACATGACCTAGCCACTTGTCACATGACCTATACCAGCCAATAGACACATACATTAAAAACACATGTCCCACCCTCCCCTCACACCACCCCCTCACACTACCCCCGCTACTACTCCGCTCCCTCCTATACATTAACTTGTTATAAAGATTAAAGCATCCACCCAAACCCTACATATGTTATTTTCTGGGGTTTTTTTATCGTTTTCTTTTACAACTAAGTTTGTAATCATACTGGGGACAATTCAGATGAGTGTTTAATTTTTTTTTAAATAAATGGCTCTGCAAATTAAGGCCTATGTCTAGCCTCCGAAGTGGAGGGGGGGGGTGCAAGGTTTCTTGAATATCCTGCAAGAAACTGTTACTGCAGTTCACCTTACAGTACCTGTCATATACGTACGTCAAGGTGCGTATATCGACTTTATTATGTACCAACTAGCACTGACGTAGGTGAGGGGAGGGGTGGGTGCAAGATTTCTTGAATAACATGCTTATTGAGAGCAACCGTATATGCAGTTTACCTTACTATACCTGTCGTATATCGACTTCAGCAAGTACCAACTAGTTACTGAAATAGATAGGGGGGGGGGGTGCAATATTTCTTGAATAGCCTGCTTATTGAGAGAAACTGTATCTGCCGTTTACCTTACAATACCTGTCTTATATGTACTCTGTACTTACTTGACGTATATCAACTATAGCAAGCATTAACTAGTCACTGACATTTTAAAAAAGAGGGGGGGGGGTAGTGTCACGTGACTGCCAACTAGATACAACATTTATACCTCATCACGTGACTGACGACTAGATACAACAGCTATACCTCATCACGTGACTGACGACTCCTACGGGACCTCCCCAGTCGTAAAAGAATAACGACAGTAAATGTTGGCAGCGATTAATGCAAGTGGGTCACTGGGTCAGGATAAAAAAAAAGTTCTTTGTACTTTCTTAATGCAGATAAGTCGGCTAGATTAAAAGCTGGAGGGGATATTGAAACAACAAAGGCGGAAGTGTGATATTTTTAAACATGAAGAAGTGCGACATTTACAATATGTGCATTAATGTGACAGTATCTGTGTGAAATATGTGTGGCAGTGTGACACTATTTGTGTGAAATATGTGTGGCAGTGTGACACTATATGTGTGAAATATGTGTGGGCAGTGTGACACTATCTGTGTGAAATGTGTATGGGCAGTGTGACACTATATGTGTGAAATATGTGTGGCAGTTTGACACTATATGTGTGAAATATGTGTGGCAGTGTGACACTATCTGTGTGAAATATGTGTGGCAGTGTGACACTATCTGTGTGAAATATGTGAGGCAGTGTGACACTATCTGTGTGAAATATGTGTGGGCAGTGTGACACTATCTGTGTGAAATATGTGAGGCAGTGTGACACTATCTGTGTGAAATATGTGTGGCAGTGTGACACTATCTGTGTGAAATATGTGTGGCAGTGTGACACTATATGTGTGAAATATGTGTGGCAGTGTGACACTATCTGTGTGAAATATTTGAGGCAGTGTGACACTATCTGTGTGAAATATGTGTGGCAGTGTGACACTATCTGTGTGAAATATGTGTGGCAGTGTGACACTGTATGTGTTAAATATGTGAGGCAGTGTGACACTATCTGTGTGAAATATGTGTGGCAGTGTGACACTGTATGTGTGAAATATGTGTGAGGCAGTGTGACACTATCTGTGTGAAATATGTGTGGCAGTGTGACACTATATGTGTGAAATATGTGTGTGGCAGTGTGACACTATATGTGTTAAATATGTGTGGCAGTGTGACACTATCTGTGGGAAATGTGTGTGGCAGTGTGACACTATCTGTGTGAAATATGTGTGGCAGTGTGACACTATATGTGTGAAATGTGTGTGGCAGTGTGACACTATATGTGTGAAATATGTGTGGCAGTGTGACACTATCTGTGTGAAATATGTGTGGCAGTGTGACACTGTCTGTGGGAAATATGTGTGTCAGTGTGACACTATCTTTCTGAAATATGTGTGGCAGTATGACACTATATGTGTGACTCTGTCAATGAGTCAAGGCTTGGCCCTCCTTGCAGTTAACATATTAAAAAAATATCTGAAAGCAACCCCGCTGGCCAGTACACTGTGCCACAGGCCTCGTGTCATACCTGTCATGTCGTCAGCCAGCCGTGACCACGTCCCATTTGACAGGTGTGCTGGCAGTGAACTACTTAAGCTAATCCTGTCTGCCCGCTTCACCTCCTAGCACCCCCTCACTGACTACATTAGACTGACCCAGAAAAAAACTACACTCGTGTACCAATGTGTTGATTTCTTTATTCCTCTCCACTAAGCCGGACAGCGATTGGGTACAAGGACGTCACTGTGTCTATAATTAGTCCAATGATATCACTCGTTAGAAATCACCCCTTTGCCTACATTATGGACACGACAAACTCAGCACGCGCTAAATGTGGAACGCCGTGTTGTGACGTAACAAGCAGAAACAAGCTGTACAGACTAGCGATCGGCAATCAATTCAACGGAGACATAAATTTCAGACGAGCGGCGGTCTCGTCAATACATTTCGCGCGAACAAAGTGTTAGAACGAACAGCGTAAGAAATATGTTAACAGCGGACGGTCAGAAATATTTGTAAACAAGCGACAGAGCTAATTCAATGTTAAGGTCAACATAGGTGGCACATATTCAGGGTATGCCAACAAAGAAATAAAAACAAAAACAATATACAGTTAAACGCTTAGCTCGATAAGTATGAATATAACTCCGTTTTTCTTCCTAGTTGCCGATTCTCAAGTATTGTTATTAATTTTGCGGTATCGCAAAGAGCACATTATTTGAGTATCGATACTTTAGAAGGATCGATAAAAAAATTTAAATCGAGATTGGTGGTTTACAATTGAAGTTTGTTGACGACAGATTTAGTTAAAACTGTAATGATATCGAGATTTTTTTTTAAAGAGCAAGCTATCTGTTGCAGAGTGAAGTTTGTTGACGACCGAGTTCGTTGAAAGTCAAACGTTACAGTTTGTGGGTCTGACCTTCCTCTAGATGTAACTGGGTCAAGTCGTGTTTACATGGCGAGCTGTATTCTACGTTTGGTGTATGGTGTGTGATGTATGGTGTTTGTTGTGTGTGTATGGTGTGTGGTGTCTGGTGTGTAACGTTAACCTATCTATCAGCCAAATAGAAGGAGAACGTCCCCGGATTCTTTTTTCGGGGTCATATGCAAATGCCTTACGGCCAAAGTGGATGAACACTTAACACAACGACCACTAGGGCTCGAAATTAATGTCTAGGGAAGCTAGTGATACTATTGTAATTAACGCTCATCCAATCTACATACGACCTTTTAATCAGCGAACTCAGAAGTGGCAGAACACAAGGTTGAACTAAATAAACTATTTAATGTATAAAATATCAAAACCCAACTTACACAATGTAGGAAAAAACACTATCACAGATTTCTACACTGTCTAAAGAACAGCTACAGGCCACACGACACTGTTGTAGCTTCTAGAATTACTTAGCGACAAGTAATATTAAACTAGAAGACTAAATCAACTTAAGAAAGCAAGGCACACACAGGTCTTAAGTACTCTCACGTTCAAATGGTCAGAGTCTATAGCCGGACAATATGGACGGCTGTCTGATCAAGGTAAAACTGCCTCGTAGACTGCCAGGTCAAGATAAAGTGCCTCGTGTTGCGAGTGTGCAGTGCAATTAAAGACTTCTGTGACAGGGGAGGTTATCCTCAACTCATGTCGCCATTGGTTGGGATAATCATCTGATCAGAATCATTCAATCAGATTTTAATGGAAAATTTCTATGTCTCAAACACCTTAATAGTCAATGGAAAAACCCCAGGTGTTACACCATCATTCCATATAAGGAATTATACAATGTCAAAATAAAAATGACTCGACCTAAGTAGGTCACAGGTGTGTACTGTATGGTGTCTGGTGTGTACTGTATGGTATCTGTGCTGAATGGTGTCTAGTGTCTGCTGTTTGCTTATAGTAACGCGGTTTCAGGTTTTCTTGAATTGTCCATCTTCTCTGACCAACAAAGTAGTTTTCTTGTAAAAAAAAATATGGCATCTCCTTGAATTATGAATATGTTATCTACTTTGTAGATCTCACTTTAACATAGATGTCAACTACCCTATACATTTTCACAATGTCATACCACATGTACATTGATTACATTTAACATTCCACATAAAAAACGTTTTAATAACAAGCTTTTATGTAATAATGCACTAAAAAGTAGAAAATAAATTATACACTACTATTTAAATTCCTATAAAGAAGAGCGTGGGTCTCTTCCTAAATATTAGTAAAGGTATCCAATAGATACTAAAGTGGCCCACGCTTTTCCATATAGTAATTTAAATAGTAGTCTATAATTTATTTTCTACTTTTTAGTGCATTATTACTTAAAAGCTTGTTATTAAAACGTTTTTTTATCAATTTTTTTTCGAAAGTAGTGCTTAAAAAACCGGGTGATGGTCTGGGCACTCATTATAAATCGTCAATATTACAGAATTTAGAAGCTGATACAGACTTTAAGAGCTGATGGAAACTTCGAATCAAACTCCATGGAAGATTTCGGTTTTAGATTTATGAATTTAACATCGGTCTACCACACTACAGCTAAGCTTTTATCTTTTTATTTACTTACTTCCTGTGTGACACAATTGTGTCTTCGCGCATGCGCACAACACAGGTCACTGACCAACTTCGGTCAACTCGACGCGTCTGGTGTAAATAAGGGGAGAGTACACTAGTCATCTTTTTATTTTTTATTCAAGGGAGGTAAATCTCTGGTAGCTGTCACACAGCGGGTGGCCGTGCTACAGATGGCAGTGACAAAAAGATGGATTGGATTGAACTTGATGCCGGTAGTTAGCTGCACACAACATGCATGTTTACAAACAAAACATTGCGCTTGTTCGCAGTTCCCCCACCACACCTAACGCGTTAGCATGGGCAGGTTGTAGGCCTGGCGAGTTTTGAGTTATTTAATGTCAGAGTAATTGTTAATTCAATTTGTAAACAAAGTCGGAAGGATTTTTTTTTTAGAAATAGGTTGTCGGTTAAATCGTCGGTCTTATAGGTCATTGACCCCAATGTATTCCCTCAGGTCAACTGACGTCTGTCTGCCCGGCAGTCGCCGCCGCGTGATTCATGACGTCACAGCTCACGTCTGCTCGATTATTTCCATTACACTTTTTGTTTTAATATACATTTTCTCGTTCGGCGTTATGGAATCTGTGCCACTTTGTCCCCGGGGTATACCCATGCTCCTCCTCCTTATGATGATCTCCCCTTGCCTGTTTCTCCTATTTCTAATTACCATTGCCTCCCCTTTGTGTCAGGTCTCCCGTGTGCATGTTGCAAACCTTCTCTCCCCTTCCCCTAACTGTCATCTGTCCTTTTTTGTTTCCGTTATTTAGATCTCCATTTTCTTTTTTTTTTCCGGTCATCTTTGTCTCCTTTTCCATGACCCCCCCCCCCCCCCAACCCCCCACCCGCTGGTTCCCAAAATAGACCTGCTCAAGTTAATCAATAACCAATCGCTCCCCCTCACCCCCACGTCTTTTCCTGCGGCTTGTCACAAAAATAATTGTCTCTGAAAATTGTAATGGGCTGTCGCCGACTGTATTAGCATCCCACGTACACTTGTACATCTTCCTGTGTGTACACATTGTTACCGTCTGTCGCTTGTCACTGCCTGTCAGTGGGTATACATCATACACATAGTCAGTACTTAACTTTGTATCAGACACAATTTTGGCCCTTGTATCAGACACAATTTTGGCCTTTGTATCAGACACAATTTTGGCCCTTGTATCAGACACAATTTTGGCCTTTGTATCAGACACAATTTTAGCCTTTGTATTAGACACAATTTTGGCCTGTGTATCAAACACAATTTTTGGACATTGTATCACATTGTATCAGACACAGTTTTGGCTATTGTATCACAAAAACTTGTTTGAGTCAAATCAAACATAAGTTTGGCCGAAGTATAAGCCAAATTAAAACCAAGTTTGGCCAACGTATGAGTAAGAATTCCACCGCCTCGACCGACAACGATATCCGCCGTGCCGTGCATATAAATGTGACCGATAGTAGTCCGTGCGTCTTAGTCATCGGCTAGTCTTTGTGGAATTTTCGATGAATTTTTTTTTCTACAGAAATGTATTTTTTATGCTGATTTTTTAAATGTTTTTTTTTTTTACTGGCGGACATTTACCATCAGGTTGAATGCACTTGGTATAACACAGCGATGTTTTTACTATGGCAAACGCTAAAATGGCCTTGACCCTAACCGATGCAGGCAAGGAAAACATGGGATACGATATTGTTGTATTGCCTCGACAATGGTTTCTCTAAAAGCAAAGCCTAATTCACACAAATTGCTTCATTTTTTTTTAAACTACCATTTGATTATACAAATAAACCATGTATACATATGAGATCCTGCTCATAATAAATAGGAGAGTGAGGGTTGGTTTACCATTTTGTTTAGGCCAATAGCCACCCAGTTCTGATGAGTACGGGACTCAAGTTAGGACATAGTGCTCATCACACTATCCCTACCTAATCCGAGGTCAATTAAACAGGTAAACTCTACTTCATGTACCACACGTACCGTCAGGCTCTATAAGGAACTTTACTTTTTACTTAAGCCGACAGATTAGGGGGGATTCGGCTAGATCAGTGTAATCTAACTCAGTCCTTGTTGGAGCTAAATTTAGTTGATACAAAATAATCCGTGGAATGTCTCCACACAACCAATGCACACATTCATTCTGTAAGCACAGGTTGAAGTTTTGTTTAGTTTTGTTTTTTTCCTACGAATTGAACAAAGAGATTTTCTTTCAAATTAATTACTCTAGTGCGTTTTATCTTGCTTTGTTTATTTGTGTTAGATATAGAATAAGTGGTCAATGGAAATTTTTATACAACGCAATAGGTTGATCGAAAATGTCCCATCTGTTTTATATTTGCACGATTCTCAACCCGTTTATGCCTTTGTAACTTTCACCCATATACTTGGTTTTAATCCTCTTATTATGAAGATAGGTATAAGCCTTTTTGATTTCGATCCCAAGCGCTGGCAATCGATACTGCCCAAGGACAAAGTCAATCTTACCAGGCTAAAAAAAATGTCTATAAATCTACTCTCCAACCCGCAAGCACGGCCAGCCAATCATCCTACCGCCAGCTATTTTTAGACGTCCGTTTGCTGACGTCGTTCAATCTTTCGCAACACACAGTATCAACACTGAGGCTGTGTATCGTCTTTTTTTTTTTTTTGGTTTATTTTTAGCATTCTCGAGATACGGTTCGTAGATTTATTTCTCAGGTGTACATAGGACAATACAATATACAATGTTGTCAGATTTTGTATTTTCCGAAAGATTCTGCTCCCTGGTTTTTTTTCTTTTTTGTTGTTTTCATTGCAATGTTAGAATCGATACTCGCTCTAATTTCTCTGTGGCCTCCGGAAGTAGATCATTTGAAATTGTCGTGTGGTGCTGACCTTTGATATTTCGGTCAGCTGTCAATGCGGTCTTTCAACGTTGAAGAGCTGGCTTGCATCCTGACGTAGCCAGAACAACATTGGTGTGACTGCTCTCCCCTTGGGCTACACCTTTGAGTGCTGGCTTTTTTAATGGGATCTAAATCATTTTGACAGGCCGCATTCCCACGACATAACCGTTGCATATGATGGAGAAAATGGGGGGGGGGGTGTTGATACACCAGATGTCCGAAAAATGTTATATATTATCCGCATAACTGGTCAATACTACTTGATCGTAACATATTTTTATATGTGTTTGTTATCGATTTTTCTATATCCACATACGCCTTATGTAAATTTTATGAATAACGATAATTTCGTGCATAGGTTAATTTTGGTTAAGAGTGTAAGATAAGGGTTTTAGATAGGTTTAAGGCTAATGTTTGTGTAAGATAGGTCTAGGTTGTTTTTTTTCTAAGTATCGCTCTCGATGAACAGCCTAGTAGCTCAGGGTTTCTTTTAGATATGTGTATGGGGAGGGGGGCACTGGTTAAAGTATATATATGTGATATATTAATATATTTGTGTACTTGGTCCAGGTAGGAGACTTAGAAAGATTCCTGAAAGAAACTCTGTACTAGCTGAATCAATTATGTGGTAAATGGACATGAAAGAAACCCTTTTTAAAATAACGAATTTAAAACAAAACGCGACTATGCCTTTGTTGAAAGATGTGTGCTTGAAAATTGGAAGTTAAGACACAGCATGCCCTGGGGGCTGGGGAGTAAAATGGGGGGGGGGGGCAGAGGAGTTGAAGAGTAACCCACCGTCAGCAGTTGGGGGGGGGGGGGAGCGGCACTGGGTCGTTATCGTGTCAATCAGGCTAATGAGCCTGGTCTGTTCTCCGAATTGTTCACGTCTGCGGGCATCGTCACGTGACCTGCCCCAGGTTACACAGGTGGATGTGTTAGCTGTTCTGGTGGTTGGCATTAGAGGGTCTTCTAGATCTAGACGTAATTAATTGTATGAATCATTTAGCTGGCCCGGCATGGCGGAGATAACCCACTCTTGTATTTGGAAATTTAAAAAAAAATTGGGTGGACATGATGACCCAGCGATTATTTAACTGACCTGTTGCTATGTATGGGTGGACATGACCTACCCAGCCATTAATTAACGGCCCTGTTGCTATGTATAGGTGGACATGACCTACTCAACCATTAGTTAAATGACCTGTTGCTATGTATAGGTGGATATGATGACCTAACCATTAGTTAACTGACCTGTTGCTATGTATAGGTGGACATGATGACTTACCCAGCTATTAGTTAACTGACCTGTTGCTATAGATGGACATGACTTACTCAACCATTAGTTAAATGACCTGTTGCTATGTATAGGTGGACATGGCCTACTCAACCACTAGTTAACTGACCTGTTGCTATGTATGGACATGATGACCTAGCCATTAATTAACTGACCTGTTGCTATGTATGTGTGGACATGACCTGCTCGGCCATTAGTTAACTGACCTGTTGCTATAGGTGGACATGACCTACCTAGCCATTAGTTAACGGCCCTGTTGCCATGTCACGCATGGGCGGCGACACGTGACCCACATTATCTCCCCTTAAACGATTGCGTGTCTTACGTCACTGCTAGACGGATGCGGTTAGTTGTCGCCATGACAACGGTAACGGAAACACCTAGTCTACGTTGGGTAGTATTAATGTCAGTAATAACATTGAGTGGATAGAGGTGGGGGGGGGGGATGCTGTAATGCGAACGATTGTTCAACTAGTGAAAATAATTGTACCAAAGTTGTGTCGGATTTATTCAAGTCTGAATGTGGTTGGAGTGTGGTCGATGTGTGTGGTTAGTTGGTGTGTGTGTGTGTGTGTGGTTAGTTGGTGTGTGTGTGTGGTTAGTTGGTGTGTGTGTGTGTGGTTAGTTGGTGTGTGTGTTGGGTTAGTTGGTTGGTGTTTTAAGAGTTGTTGGTTGGCCTCTAACAGTGGTTGGTTGGTGTGTGTTTGGTTGGTGTGTTTGTTTATGTGTTTGGTTGTTGTGTGGGTGTGGTTGGTTGGTGTGTGTGTTTGCTTTGTGTGTGAGTGTGTTTGGTTAGCGTGTGAGTGTGGTTGGTTTTTGTGTGTGTGTGTGTGTGGTTGGTTGGTGTGTGTGTTGTTGGTTGGCCTGTGTTTGTATTTGGTTGGTGACTGAAACTACCAGTTAAGCCTGAGCCGGCGTGGTAATTGGCCAGATGAGTGGGAGATTGAAGGCTGGTTGTTGTACCTCATCAAACGCTGATGGCCAGCCATATTGTGTCTGGGGGGGGGGGGGATCATTTCGTCATCGTCTCATTATGAGCATATGATACCAATTTCTCAAGGGCCACTATTCCCAGACTTTTGGCCGCTATTCCAGAGCCATCCGCCACTAATCCTGGGCCATTGCTCACTAATTCTGGGCCATTGGCCGCTATTTTTGGACCATTGGCCACTATTCCTGGCCTATTGAACACTATCGCTTGCGGCTGGACAGATTAACATCGGTTAGTGAGACGGAAAAGGAGGCTCAATGTCGCAAAACTCAATATTAACAATGGGGTTAGTTAGGGGTTAATTTTTTTTTAACCCTCATGTTATTTTAGATAATCATTAGCCTTCGAAAAAAAAAACGAATAACAAACTATTAATTTTACTCGATCATGTCTGACACATTTGAAACAAGTTGGCATTTTATTTGTTGTTTGAGTTTTATATTAAGAAAAAAACGTACATTGCTGAGAAATGGTTTCTAGTAATAAAACAGATAGTGTTAGTTACCTCACAAGTTAAGACAGTTACAAGTAATATGGACGTTTCGACCCAAGGTCTTCGTCAGCACACAACAGTGTGGTTACAGATTAGACAAATAAAGGCAAACAGTAACACATTTTTTGACTTAGCTCGACAGTGAAAACACGTCTTGTCTGCTAGCCACGATATCCAAAAGAAAAGACGCGTGAGAAGGACGCTTGGACACCGTACAGGGGTGGGGTTAAGGGGGTGTGGTGTATGCGGGAGGGGGGGGTTGGTTAGGTGAAAGATATCTGTTCATTCAAGCCATCTGTTTTATTACTAATTGCATTAACCTCACTGCAGCTACCATTTGTTTTTATGAGAAATTGTTTCGAGAGCTGCAGGTGCCCACGTGACGTCTATTTATAGTAACAAACTCTTGAGACTGTATGACGTTGCTGACATCTCGCGAGAATTTGCTTGTTTTCATCTTGACAAGTTTTCGATCAGTTTGAATGGAATTATAGATTTTTTTTAATTGTTCAAAATTGTTAACCCCCGACAATAATAATTTTTAGTTCCTTGTCTCTTGTATCATGAACAATAAAACAATTTCTTTGAAAATGTCTGAATTCTCGTGAAAATATTTTTATGATGTTTTTATTTTCGCAAGTATGGTTATTTTTAGAATAGGGACAAAAGAATGTTCTTTGGAAAAGCAGTCGTCACGAATTGAGTACGCGCCGACGGAAATCAGAAAAACATGTTTGCTCTTGGTATTTGGCTTTGTTGAGTCGTGTACCTGGCCATGGCAGGTCATGTTATTAAAAGTTGCCAGATAATCCTTTAGCCAAATGGAAATGTATTTTGCACAATGTTGGGTTTTTAAAATGCAACTGCAGTGTGTTGTATAAGTTATACAGAGCTGTGGGATTTTTTGTTTGAATCTTTTTATCTCGTTTCTATATATAGCTTTTAAAATATTTTATATTGAAAGATTTCGTTTGAAAGTTGTTTTTTTAGCCTAATATAAAACACAGCCAATGTATCTGTTTTAAATATATTAAATGTTGCCATAATTTGTTGTGGTAAAATTCTAAATGATTGTGTTACATGGAAAATGTGGTTTAATGATTTTTAGGGTGTATGTTGGTTAATGTTTAATGATTGTGGGGTAATGGTCAATGGTTGTAGGTTGATGTTTAATGATGGTGGGGTGATGTTTAATGATTGTGGGTGATGTTTAATGATTGTGGGTTGATGTTTAATGATTGTGGGTTGATGTTTAATGATCGTGGGTTTTATTTTTAATGATTGTGGGTAGATGTTTAATGATTGTGGGTTGATGTTTGCTGATTGTGGGTTGGTGTTTAAATACTGTGGGTTGATGTTAACTGATTGTGGATTGATGTTTACTGATTGTGGATTGATGTTTACTGATTGTGGTTTGATGTTTAATGATTGTGAGTTTGATGTTTAATGGTTGTGTGTTGGTGTTTAATGATTGTGGGTTGATGTTTAATGATTGTGTGTTAATGTTTAATGATTGTGGGTTTGATGTTTAATCAATTGTGGGTTTGATGTTTAATGATTGTGGGTTTGATGTTTAATGATTGTGGGTTGATATTTAATGATTGTGGGTTTGATGTTTAATAAATTGTGGGTTTGATGTTTAATGATTGTGGGTTTGATGTTTAATGATTGTGGGTTGATATTTAATGATTGTGGGTTTGATGTTTAATGATTGTTGGTTTAATGTTTAATTATTGTGGTTTTGATATTTAATGACTTGGTTGATATTAAATGATTGTGGATTGATGTTTAATGACTGTGGGTTGATGTTTACTGATTGTGTTTCAGGGTGAATGTGGGGTGTGGTCCAGCTGAGGAGAGGGTCCTGCTGACAGGCCTGCACGCAGTGGCTGACATCTACTGCGAGTCTTGTAAGACCACGCTGGGCTGGAAATATGTGAGTCATGTGCATGGGGCAGTTAATGAGTCACGCCATTTCTTTTCCTGATGAATGTTTTTTACAGTTTGTACAAATATTAGCCTTTAGCATCTACGACTCTTTTATTTATATTTTATTTATTTTTTTATTTTTATTTTTTAAGTTAATCTTTTAAATATTTATCTTTTATACTGAAAGTGATGAAAATTTGACTCAAATTAAAATTTGACTCATCATCAATGTTATCAGTAACATACTAGTGTTGTCATTTACACTTGACCAAGGACATTAGAATAGGACTTTTGTTTTTAAAAAAATATAGTAAAATATATTTCTGTTGCCGTTTATGCATTGCTAAAATAAGACCCTTGTTACAGTGATAATTTTGTGTGTTCTCTCCCCCTAGGAACATGCTTTTGAGTCGAGCCAGAAGTACAAGGAGGGCAAGTTCATCATTGAGCTGGCTCACATGATCAAGGACAATGGCTGGGAGTAGTCCAACGCCCCCCCTCCCCCACATCTCTGCTGGTGTGTCACGGAAACTTCTGGACGCCGGTTGGAGAACCGTCAAGGATGACATGACCAAAGTTGCGATGTGGCTGGCTACTTGAGGTGGTTGCTCATGGTTGTCTGGTCAACCGGCCAGTAGGGATGTGGGGCGGCCAGCGCTTGATTCTCATTGTTTGTACTAGATGGTAGCAGACGGTGGTCAACTGATCTAAACTTGAAGGAAAAGAGTGACTACATATTTCACTTCACATTGTTTTTCACTGTGACATGAGTTTATATTTTCCCCCCTTGTGGTTGTTGAGCAAGTTCCATCTTTACATATGCCTGGCAGTTGATGAGTATTATGAGGTGGGCGTTGACTCCGAAGGGAGGTAACTAAAGGGAGATAACTGGCTAGTCTTCTGCTGTATGGAACTGGTTGAGTAGATCACTGTACCTGATTCTTGTACCCAGACCGTCGGACAGTCTGTGATTTCATTTCACATTTTAAATCCAACTAGGAGTGTTTGTTTTGAATGTGAACAACTTGTATAGAACAACAACAATTTTGAAAAATAAAATAAAAACTTGGCATTCCTAGCAACTTAATTCAGCCACACCGGTCAGCTTCAACAGGAAATTATAACTTGGCCAATTCAATATTTCTATATTGTATTTTTTTGGTACAGTGGACACACAATGGAAATGTTATTCATTTTATTGGGCACAGACAGTTTTTTTTTTTTTTCAAAACAAGCCAGAAAAAAATTTGGCCTATTTTTTAAATGAAATAAAAAGTATGGCCAATTTTTTTAAATGAAACAAATAAAAAGTATGGCCTATTTTTTAAATGAAACAATTAATGTCCACAAATATAAATCCCAATAGGTCTTTCAAAACATTGGATTTCATCAGTGACAGTGTTAACATTTTCTAACATGTCATGGGACTTAAATCTCACAACAGTAACAAAAAAAAAATATTCGTCATGACAACATAAAGTTCGTCATTGACAGTATGGAGAAAAAAAAATATATTTGTCATTAACAAAATGAGAAAAACAATTTTCATTGACAATATGAAAAAAAAATACATAACAGAGAACTGATATTTTTGTCAAAGTTTTTATTGTGTAATATTTTACTCTTCATAAACAAATTTTGCCTTTGCGGTCAAGTACATATCTTACCTGTCTCATTATGTAATGTTGTTTTGGTCTTTTAGCTAACAACCTCTGGCCATCTCTCAATAAAGACATCAAGTTAATTAAGAAAAGTTGTTAAACAATTTTTTTTTAATTTCTAGCTAGCAACATTAATAATTTAAATTATTTTTTTTTTTTTTTAAATTTATTCAAAGATGTCTTTCCATTATTAAGACTGTTTTTCAGTTTTTATGATAAAATAATAAAAGTAAATTACAAATACTGTTTTTTTTTTAAATTTACAGCTCAGTTTCTTGAATCTGAAACCTGTGTATTAATTGTGCCTTTTCATTTTCAATTTGACAACTTGTTAAATCAACTATTTACTAACTGTTTCTATGGGAGATGGCATCTGTCTGAGGATTAGTTCCCTTTGCTTTTCTTGATACTCTTTGTTTTGGGACTACAATTGATATAATGCAGTTATAATGAGTGTTGTACATTGTAGCGGTAATGTTGTCTCAATGTATTTGATAACTTAGCTCATGTCAGTGTCTTGTCTCACTGTCCCCATGCTTTCAGTTTTTTCAATGCAATAACATTTTGTTGTTTCATTTATTTATTCTTTTTTTTATATAGATTGGACTGTCAGTACCATTTTATTGTTTTCTTGATTTGAAGATTGGACAAACCGTAGACGACTTTAGAAAATCTCAATGACAATCAAATTAAGCGAAAAATAAATTAAATTCAATATAATTTTAAAAATATATTTTTTTACTAAAGACAACTTATAATTCTTAATTGTTCTAAAGCTCAAAATTTTTGTTTGAAAAACGGGGTGAAATAATTTAGTTCTTTCCATTTCTTGGAAAGTGACGTATTAATAATTCAGTCTCAAATGCTAAATTTAGAACCAAATTTATTCAAGAATTAAATTGGTTTTGTTTTTCAAGCTTAAATAAAAATCCTTTGGGTTTAATTTTTTTTTTTTTTTTTTGTAAAATACTGTACATTCTATAAGTGATGCATATGAAGAAGTTGTATAATTCCTTATTTTGTTGTACAGATTTGTTTAGCCTGCTCCCAGGTTCATGTATTTTTGCTCTGTCTTTATTACTTGAACTTAAAAAAGATAGTCATTTTCATTTCACATCATACAAAGTAGTTTAGTTTATTTTTAGTGTGGGTGGTATCAAATAGTGTAAGTCAGTAAGTGTATTATTTCAGTGTATGTAATATTAAATAGTGTAATTGTACTATTTTTGTGTACGTAACATCAAATAGTGTAATTTTACTATTTTTTTGCATGTATCATTAAATACAACAGTACTAACTTGCATTATGAGGAGACGTTGAAATTTCCAAATCCAAATTTGCTGCTTTTTTCTAATCATCGGTTAATTGATTCTGAGATTTACTATTTTTTTTATTTGAAATTTTTTGTTACTACTAAAATATAGTGCTTTGTGTTTAAGAAAAAGAAAATACAACTTATTTTTTTATTGGCAATAACCTTAATTTTACTTTGTAACATATGCTTTGAAAGAAACAGAAAGACTTATTTGAATTTGAGTTGTTGAAATAGGAAATAATAATACACATCTTGTCTTTTGTCCATCATATTTTTAAAAAAACTTACGATGTCTTTAGTCATCTGTTGTTTGTTTTTTTAGTTTAATAATTATTGATAAATAAATGTTCATTGGCTTGCAATGTATGGTATAAATTTTAGTGAATTTTTTTTATGCATACAGCTGCTTCATATCATGAAAGCCTGCTCTAATGCTATGAGATTATTTTTTTTTGTAACAAATGTTCAATTAGATTCATTTTCACAAACATGCTTATGCTTTTCTCTACAAGCATTCAGCAGTTAAAAAACTAATCTGCAAAAAAAGAATTTGGTTTAGAAATCTCTTAATTCAGATCTATTTGATTAAGTTCAGTACATTTGTATGTGTTACTGTGGCTGCTGATCATTTGAACCTTCAGGAGCAGAAGATCTGCAGGCATTGACAGGCCTTGCGTTGGACAGTCTCTTTTCCTGCGTATTTTTTTTTTCTTGATGATCTTCTTTTATTAATTATGCTTAAAATTGATTTACTAAAATGTTTCGCTCTTTTGAGAAAAGAGAAATTTTTTAAAAATTGTTTCATACTGGCAGCATTAAAAAAAAACTTTCAATGGCAATACAGTTTTTGGTTTTTTTTAAAAGAAGAAATCTTTGGAAAAAAAAATTAAAATATATGTGTAACAGAAAATAAAAACTGATCAGCATTATTTACGAGATTTTTTTTTCTGGCGCCTTTCATTAAAGGGGTGGGGGCTTCCAGATTTTATTTACTGTTTGTAAATCTTTATCTTATAGTTGTGAAATTATTTTTTTTCCTGTAGAACATGAGTTCTGGCATGTGACTTATTTAGCTAGATCTATCAGGCGTAAGACTTGTCTCCCCTATAGCTCCACTGACAAATATTGCTGGCATTGCGCTAATGCAGGGCCTGTATCACTTGCATTTGTTAAGATATCAGTCTGTCTGTTTCATGGGGAAACATTTATATTTTTGAGGGGGGTAAATTTTTCACAAAGCAGCTATTTTCATCCATAAAATTTTATCTCTATTGAAATGACATGTATATTTTTCATAACCCATTATACGTGTTGTTTTTTCTTTTACACTGATTATTTCCAATTTTTTATTTCGTTTTTTAAAAGCAATTTTTTGCCTCTTTTTTTTTTCGTTTTGTGTGGAGCATAAACAGCCCTCCTTATCAAATAGTCAGCTGGGTGTCACATTTGTCTTGGTGTATTTTGATCACTAGCACTCATAGTTTCTATTGCTTAACATCAGTAACCCGCGTATAGCCCTCGCCAGGCAGTTTTATTTTCATTTGATGGGCCGAGGCAATAGCAGATGTAACAAGAATTTCCCTTTTTTTTTTAGTTATCAGCTGGAAAAAACTTCAGTGTTGCAGACTTGTTTGATTAAAAATTTCACAAGGTAAAAAGAAATTAATTTAAGAAAATGGCTTGATACCAGCATATCTGGCAGGTGATAGACTGGCCAGATTTTTGCATTAAAAGATGGCTAAAATATGAATTTTGTTTATTGAAAGTGTTTTGGTCCTCCTACTAGAAGAGGAGTTGGTGGATCATTTGGTTAGATTATAGCAGTTTGAAAATACTGTATATAACTTTTTTGTTTGCATTAATATGATGTAAAATTAAAGTACACTTCTAAGTAGAGGATTTTGTTTTGTTTTTCATTTTAACTGAATAATGTAAATTGTTACATATGAGTGTTCAAAACTGAGTATGGTTGTCAAGTTAAGTTAGACAAAGGTGACATGGTTAGTTATCAATCAAAAATAAGACTTTTGATCATCAAGTCTAAGCAACATGTCTTGGTAAAAGATTTTGGGGTGTTTGATCACTCACAGAAATAGTCTTTTTTTAAGCACAAAAAAAAAAAATAATTTTATCTCTTTTTATTCAGCAAAGCAGTGAAAGCTAAGAATTACAAAATACTCAACAAAAATTTATTGGCATACAAAAATATTTGAAAACTTAATTTAACATACATTTTCAACTTCCATGAAACTGAAAAATATATTTAGTGCACACTTCAAGTTTGTTTTTAGTTGCCTAGAATGAAAAAAAAACAAATCTCACATGATTATAAATGTAGTTTTACAGTGCAGCTCAATTAGCATTAAATTAATTAGCTCGTTAATAAGCCACAGCTGCAGCACCCTGTTTGATTCAATCCTTTGCTAACAGTATAGTAACAAAATGCCATTGTATTATGCTCCTGGTGTGTATTCTAAAGTTGGACCATAATATCTAACAAGCAAAACATTTTTAAAAACTGTTCACCTTAATAGGAGAGTGACTTAAGGCCAGAAAAAGATGCAAAAATGAAAGTAACGTTATATTAATATAATTTTAAAATATTTACTGTAATACACCTTGGTAGTATTGCAAATTTTAAAATTGTTTTAATACTGATGATAGATGAAAGTGTGCATTCTCATTTAAAAACACCATAACATTAGCTAATTAGTTGATTACATTATATTTCGTGAATACTGCTCATGCATTAGCAGGTTTAAAACCTGTTTGATATTAGAAAAATTTGTAAATTTATTTTAATAATATCATTACGAATGTCATGTTTTTGAATATCTTAATGTATAATCAAATTACAAATAACAAAACATACATTCATCACTAAGTAAAATCACATAATAAATACTGATTAAATTGTAAATGCTTTGTCATCACATTGAGAATTGTATACATTTTAATTAAAGGTATACTTTGATACTTTCCTAAAAATTTAAGTAAAACAATATCTGATAGTTATTAATAATTTCATTATTTCAGCAAAAGAATGACTTAATGAAGACTAAATCATATACAAAAATCTCAGGTTGCATAAAATCTATACCTAATTAGTCTTCTGATTTTATCTTTCAAATTTTTTACAATAAAAAAACAATGAACAGCTTTTTTAAAACAATTTTTTTTTTAAATCCATTTAACATGTCAAAGTGAATATTTCTCGGTGTTAAAAAATCAAATTTATCTAAACCCAATTGCCTCCTATGAAAGTCAGAGTCATAGGTACCCCCCAAGCAGTATCTTACATCACTATAATTTTATAAAAACGTTGTATAAAAAATATATTGTTAGTGGGGCTACAAATTGGAGACCCTCATTTGTGAAATTTCTAGTTAAACCTCCGATGACATTCATACAGTGAGCTATCGGACATTTAATTAAAATCACAGAAATTAGTGAAATGTCTAAACAAATTTATCAAGAAATGGTTAGTGCTAATCAAATCTAGAAAGGCATTAAAAATCATAAACGAACGTCTATTTTTAAAAATGTGTAAAATGTTAAAGTTCTTTACATTAATAACTAAAAAAAATTATTTTGAAAAAATTATTTTAAAATTATTTATATCTTTACCCAACTAAGTGAAGTTATTAGATAAAATGTTATTGGTACTTGTAGATCTGACAATTTTAACAAGGATTTTATTTCAGTTCTAGTAATATTGCAGAAAAAAATTGGGTTATCTTTCTTGCTAATCAAGTTCTGTTTTTCCAGTTGTCCACCCATGTGTAATATCCAATAACTTCTGGTTTTTTTCATTATTATTTATGATTATTTTTTTAAGAATGCATTTGGTAAATTATTGTAAGTTTTAAAAAACAATTTAAATAAATAAACAGGCACATCAGTTATTTTTTTTATCTCTACTTTGCCATAGGAAAGGTTGAACTTTCGTCATCATTTGAACTTTCATCATCTGAGCTTTCATCACTCGAACTTTCATCATTTGAAGTTTCACCATCATTATTATCTTCACCTTTTCCATCATTTTCTTTATTCTCATCATCATTGTGACCAGTGTTGGTAGCACTGTAGTCAAGGGAACTGACCCCCTGGATTTTATCACTGATAGAAATCTCTTTGGCCTCTTTATTACTGCCATCTTGAACTAAGTCATTCATACAATCCCCTCTGTCGTCAAAGTGACTTGCGCTGGGGGAGTTGGACAACCTGGCCTCATGTGAACTTTCAGGTGCCAAATTGGTCACCTGGCCAGATTTACCAGCATCTGTAGAAGTTTTCTCTGGGCCTTCAGAATCTGAAAACAATTTTTTTCTAACAATTTTGTGACCTTTAAAAAATAATTAACTTCAAAGACACTAAAAATAATATTCATGTTTGAAAATTACTTGAGTTTGAGACTACATGTACACTGAAAAATAAACATATTTAAAAGTTTTGAAACTTTCTCCATTATAATTGTAGAAATAGACTCTTACTACCATTTATTGCATCCAGTCCAGAAGATGGTCTTTCTGATCTATTTTTAAAATATAAAAACATATTATTGAAATGTAAGTTACATAAAAGTATTTAAAAATTTGAATTTCAAACATTAAGTTGAGTAATCTCTGACTAAACAAATACAAAAAAAAAAACTGCATGTTATAGATTTTATTTAAACTTTTCTTACTGAAGATTCTGAGAGCTACTGCTTTTTTCTTCTTTTCTTTCACTGTCAAGATCCACCTTAGTTTCTGTCAAACAAATATGAAGGTGCATAAATTCAAGTTTAATTTTGTATTCAAAGATACTTCATTTAAAACAGTAATTGCATTTTTAAAGATTAAAACTTCTGTAATAATCATTTTTTTTTTAAATATTTAACAATTTTCTAAACTTAGTGTACCTTGATGATGTTCTGTATAAGTTTCAGTCTCTAGTTCTGATTCTGTCTCCGAATGTTCATCACTGCTGTCACTACTGGAGGATGATGAAGACGATGATGTGTGTTCATGATGTTTTTTTTCATCATCCTCATCCTTTTTGTCATCTAGCGGTGTTGATCTGTCAATTGGCGATGTTGGTCTATCAACTGGTGATGTTGGTCTATCAATTGGTGATGTTGGTCTATCAATTGATGATGTTGATCTATCAATTGGTGATGTTGGTCTATCAATTGGTGATGTTGGTCTATCAATTGATAATGTTGATCTATCAATTGGTGATGTTGGTCTATCAATTGATGATGTTGATCTATCAATTGGTGATGTTGGTCTATCAATTGATGATGTTGGTCTATCATCTAGTGGTGTTGATCTATCAACTGGTGATTTAGACCTAGTTGTAGGTGATGTTGATCTATCAACAGATGATGTTGATCCATCAACATCTGAGCCTGATCTGTCAGATGAAGATGTTGATCTGTCGGACAGTGATGTTGACCTACCATCTGGAGACTTCCTGCTTTCTTCATTCTCTTTATCAGAGTTTTCTCCCTCAACTTCTCCACTTCCTTCTTCCTGTTTGTTTACATTCTTTGACTCTTCTTTTCTACTTTTTAAACTACTTTCACTTTTGCTATCGGCATCTGCCAAAATAATTTGTTTTCTTCTTTTCTTTCTTTTCTTCTTTTTGTCCTTCTCTCTGTTCTCTCTCTTTGTCTCCCCTTCACTGCACTCTGATGAAGATGAAGGGGATGATTTTTGTTTTAATTCTTCATTTTGTTCCGTATCTTCCTCACTTTCAGATTTCTTGTTTTTAGAGATTTTCTTCTTTTTATCCTTCTCTCTGTTTTCTCTCTTTGTCTCCCCTTCACTGCACTCTGATGAAGACGGGGTGGAAGATTTTTGTTTTAATTCTTCACTTTGTTCCATTTCTTCCTCACTTTCAGATTTCTTGTTTTTGGAGATTTTCTTCTTCTTCTTTTCTTTTCTATCACTTTCCACCATTTCATTTACTGTTTCTGTCTTTGCCTCATCACCACTTCCTGTCTCAGTGGAAGAAGATGAAGCAGATGAGGAACTACTTTTTCTCCTTTCATTTTTAGTGGCCTCATCTTCTACATCACTTGCTTCACTGTGACTGCTTTGGTCTCTTGTGACCTCTGCCCTTTGACTCGTTTGCTCTGTTTTTTTCTTATCTGACTTTTTGCTTTTTTCTGACAATTTCTTCTTTTTATTTTTCTGACTTTTCTTACCAGGTGAAGGACTCCTAGATGTAGCTGACTTACTTTTACGCACCCTATAGAATAAAATAAAACTTTTACAATTGTGGTTATTTTTTTAAAAAGACAGTAAAAGACACTGTAAATGCTAATTGTCAAACATAAAATGTCTAATAGTTAGTGTTTCTTGGTCTGTCAATGCTATTCTTCATCTCTTATTTAAACCTTAGTAATTGGTGATAAATGAAGCCACATATTATTATTTCTAAACAGCCTACAACTTTAAAAGTACTTCTATTTTTTTTTAAATAAATGTCACCTTGAGTGGCCTTTATCTTCCTTATCATTTGACCTTCTTGTACTAGATCTTGAACTTCCTGGTGCAGAAGTACTCTTCTGTTGCGAAGGGTCAAAAACTCCTAGCTGTGTATTTCTTGGGTGATTGAAGTAACTTTCATACTTCTTTCTCTCACTTGCTGGAAAATTTCCTATTTAAAAAACTAATCTGTTGTTAATCATACAAAACAATGAAACAATTTAGAATATTTTAGAATATTCCCAATTTTAGTTTAACTTAAATTACATGGCTGAAAAATCTCAAGTTTATTTGTATCAGATATAATTATAAACATACTAATTTTAATTATCCACACAAAAAATACTTAAAGAGTGGCAAAAATACTTTAAAAATTCAAATATGATCAATTCTTAGTTAAATAATACTTGATTCATTAATAATTAACATACCCAAAAAAATCAACTGACAAGAGTTGGACTATCTTGCCAGGGACTGACATAAGTGGCAATAACTTTCTATGGTGCTCCCATGTATCCAGGGCACCAGAGGGAAAAAAATAATTATATTTAACATGCCAAACCTTTGCAGTATTCCTTCCACATGAGCCATTGGTACTGCTGTATCTTTCTCTTCCTCATTTCCTCCACACTGTACACCTGAGCTATCTGGGAGAGGTATCTCCTGTCTGCAGGCTTGAGGGAGGGGTCCTGTAACACAGGAGAGAGGGCCCTCCTCTTCTCCCTCCCTCCACTGGCTAACCTCCGGGGTTGTTGGAGGGCAGAGTAGATTCTGATGATGTTGTAATCAAAGGTGTCCTTACAGTCTGTGTGATACCTGGAGTTGGCCCCATGACCAGCTGGAATTAAAAATAGTGTCCAGTTGTTTAAATAGATATCTAATAGTGTCCAGTTGTTTAAATAGATATCTAATAGTGTCCAGTTGTTTAAATAGATATCCAATAGTGTCCAGCTGTTTAAATAGATATCTAATACTGTCCAGTTGTTTGAATAGATATCTAATAGTGTCCAGTTGTTTAAATAGATATCTAATAGTGCCCAGTTGTTTAAATAGATATCTAATAGTGTCCAGTTGTTTAAATACATATCTAATAGTGTCCAGTTGTTTAAATAGATGACTAATAGTGTCTTGTTGTTTAAATAGATATCTAATACTGTCCTTTTGTTTCAATATCTAACAAGGTCTTGTTTTTAAACATTTACATAAAGTTATCCAGTTATTTTTAATATTGCCTATAATAAATAAATATTGATTAAGCAGTTACTTTTAAGATAATTATCTTGCTTAACTTCAAACAAAAATACTTGATAGTGGTCTAATTAACAACTCTGAACTGATAAACTATACTACCAATAACCTGAACAAAAGCAAAAATGTCAACATACTTTCAGCACTTTTGGCTGGTCGATCTGACCGAGAGACCCAGGCTGGGGTGGAGCTTGTGTTTGTGTGGATAGATGGAACAAACCTCTCAGGCTCTGAGGCAGTGCAACCTTTGTGACGAGGCTTGCTGGAGCTGCGACAACCTAGACATTAATTGTTTTCTTTATTTTTCAAATCATTGTCTAAAATGTATAATTCTGATAAATAAGGGTAACAGAAAATGCTAAGAGCAACATAGAGTACTGAGTTCTAAAATTGTAGTAGATTCAAAACATATAGGATAAATGATAATAATATTCCAATGTTTTATACCAACTGATAATAGTAAGGATAATAATTTTAATAAACAATTTATTTCAAAATATAAAGGCAATTTTAAAATATAAATGCAAGGTGTAAAGGAAGAGGAATAAAATCTTTTTACATACCTGCAGAAGAATGTCTTTCTGGAGATGGTTGGCTGAAAAATTAAATGTATTATGAGGTGTTTTAATTACTAGTAGACAAAATATCATACTCTAGCTACAAGATTAGCTGGGAAACTGTGTCTTACTTGATGTTTCCTGAATAATCAGTCTGACCTCTGAGTCTTGACCCCTATAAAAAAAAATATTTACTAACATAACAAACTTGTTTAAGAGATTAATTGTGTGTCATTTAAATAATCATTCAACATTGTTCTAATGAAATAGCTAAAATGCTATTAAAGGATGAAATGAAGTTCAATTATGACTTGCCAGTTTTTATATTTTTATCACCTAATATTAGATGAATCAACATTTTTTAAATATGTAAATGTTATGGCAACTACTTCACTCTTCAAAATAAAGGTTAGTTAAAGCAATTTTTAAAATTTTAAACTATTATTTCATCTACACAGTGGAGATACTTATTAATTAGTGTAATCACCTTAGAAAGTTTATTGTTGAGGAGAATCAGTCTGGTGCTGCTGTTACTGACGTCATACACTGTGGACACAGGACTAGGTTTTGGCCATGGTCGACCATTGAAGGCACCCCTGAAAAAGAAAACATTAAAAAATGTAATTGACTGTAATTGAAAAAGAAAACATAAAAAAATGTAATTGACTGTAATTGAAAAAGAAAACATTAAAAAATGTAATTGACTGTAATTGAAAAAGAAAACATTAAAAAATGTAATTGACTATATTTTATTTTTAGTATGCTATCAGAGTTTCTCTCAAGCATCTCTATCGCCCCCCCCCCCCTCTTAGAATGTCTAAACCATCCGTCCCCCCCTAAAATGAAAATAGAATTAAATAGAAAATATATACTTTTACCAGTACCTTTCCTCCCAGTCCCGACAAGACTGCCCCCCCCCCCAACTCCCAATCCAACCCAGGTTGTGTTAAGCACCATGAAAGTGAAAAAGAAATGTTTATATCATATAATCCTGTCTATCTGATTTAAAAAACATTGTTCAAGATGGCGAGATGTTATATTTTATAAAACCTTGCTTTGAAAATTACAATGTTAGAAATCTACTAAATAATTTCTAAATAAATTCTAGTTACCTTCCTAATTTAAGGTCAATCTCTGATGGTGTTGTGGTGAGTTTGACTGGAGTTGATTTCCTGTTTAAGCCAGAATTTGGAAACACCACACCAGGGTAGAGATTTGACATAATGACGGTGACTAGAGTCTGGTTTAACTATTCATCCTTGTAGAAGATCTATTGAAACATTCCATTAATTATTACATGGTTCATTTTTAATTGTGCACTGTATCACGATAGTGTTGCCTCATATTTATCTGAGATTATTACATTTCTTTGTGGGAGATAGATCTAATTAATTAAATTGATGCTTAAAATTAGTACATTAGAATTTTTATTTTTGTGGTTTATAAAAAGTCATTCATCTTAAAATATTATTTCATTGTACATGAGTATTTACATAAATGATTTATTTTATGATAATGTTAGTGGTATTACTTAGAAAAAAATCTTAAACATAGTTTGTTTCCTGATTTATATTTTATTTTATGTTTTACATGGTTCAAAATACTGAATACCATTAATATAGATCTAGATATTTCAACTTGCAAACAAAATAGGTGTTATGAGCATTAGAACCCTCTCCCCACATGTATCCTAAACTAAGTCTCAAACTAAATGGAGGCGAGCGAGCTGACGAGATTCCGTCCCCAATGTTGTTGACATGGAATAAAAACGTGCTTTTTTAGATTTAGACCGTAAAAAAAATTAAAAATAAAAACTTAAGCCTAAAATTAATTTAGAAATTTTATATTTTTAGAATAAATGCTATAAAAGTTGCAAATCCAGAGAACTTGAAAATAATTTGTTGAGTTTAAGGCTACATTTCTATTTATTTTCATCAAGCCTAAGTTATAACCGGATGTTTCACTTTCGTAAGACAAATATTGATTGGCTGTACAGTAACTTAGTGATCGATAACTATTTGTTTACAAAACTTTGCAGATCAAGTTTTTAAATAATAATGCAAATTTAAAACCCCATGACCTAGTTTTCTATTTTTAGCTTACAATGTGTACAATAAAATCAATGGCGGCCTATCCAATAGCAGGATGCCATTGTTTATGTCGCCATTACACGTGAAAACCAAATTGTTTTTGCTTTTTTTTTAATTTTTATTTAGTTACCGAAAATATTATAAACATCAAATACATCCAATCTTTAGTAAAGTCCGAAAAAAACCAGATAGACAGGATTTTATAACCATATTAATTGTAACTACGCTGTGCATGATTTTTAAATGAATTTATACACCTCTCAAATACCTTTGAGACTTTTCTCGCTGGTGTCCATTAAAACTATTGGTGATGGTGCACTTGTGTCATTTTTATTGTGTTTAGTCACTAAATGCAATGAAAATGACACAAGTGATATTATGACACTAAACTTTACTGTCGAAATTTCATAAAACCACAATAACCACAATTCTATGATCTCAAAACTTTGAAAACAGTTATGACTATTTCCACTGGGGTCCATTAATTTAATCTAGATCTAAATAGTAATATTATATAATTAATAATAATACATTGAATATTTCATATAATTTTAATGTATATTATTATTAATATTAAGAGGCCTAAATAATTATAATTTTTTTTTTAATTTAAAATGTTAATTTGAAATTCATTTGAAAAGTAAGATAAATGTTATTAAATAATTAAACAATTAAAACAATTATCTACCATCGACTAATCTAAAACGTTAATTAAAATAGAGGTCGATATTCAGATTAAATAATTGGTTTATCCAAGATAAATTTGAAAAGACCTTTTAATTTTTTGCAACACAATCCTGATCGGCCATTTTAAAACTACTTTGTTTCCTGGGTGATGTTATAGAGGGGATATAACGCATTTAAAAAATAATTTTAAATCAACTGGAGTTGCCGGTCTTTTATAACTGACTTAAAATTAGATACTGACACTAACAACATCACTTTTTTGTGTCCATACATAAAAATTCCGAAATTTTTTAAAGAAGTATTTAATTTAAAAGCTGTATCAAGAATTTCACCCTCTGTAAATCAACAAAATCTGTTTACACTTTAGCTTTTTTAACTACCTAGTTTTAATTATTTCTGTCATGATCTGTTAAGAATTAAGGTCAAAGATAAAAAATATATCTTTTTAATTGTTTAGACATGTACTTATTTAAGTGAAGAGATTATACTTTCCCATTAAACATGATTTTTGCTTTCCTTTTATACTATAAGGCTGTCTAATTCAATCACTCTACCTCATAAAATTGTTCTTTACATGCCATATAATTCAATCTCTCTTCTTCATACAAAGCCACATAACTTATCTCTCTTTGTTTATATAAAGCTGTATAATTATATTAATTAATTCACGAATTTCACATAAGATCATATAATTCAATTTTTCCGGTGTTTTTCAAGTTATTAGTAGGTTCCATTATTTTGAAGCTAAGATTTATAAAATGAAAATGCCCCCCCCCCCCCTTAAAATACATAACATTTATTTTAAAATAAATATTGCTGCACATATATGGGATGTTTTGGTCAGGTGGTAGAGCATATAATTCAAACCTAAAGTCTTAAGTGAAGTTTTGCACAAGCTCTCATCTCAAATTTATGACAAGGAAAGTGAAGGTTGCTGGGCATAGTACTGTACTCTAATAAACTAGCCATTCAAGAGGAACCTTTGTAATCCATCTGTTTTTGCTCACAAAATCAGTATTGACAAACATTTTGTATACAGACAATGATGAACCCTTGTTCAGACGTGTTCTCATTTTGCCGTTCATTTATTATTAAAAAATGAAATTCAACAGAAATCTTCAATGATTGTAGATGTTTATTCAAGTTTCTTAGAAAATTACTGGACGTATTTCAAAAAATACTATTTTCTGTGATAAATGTAAATCGTATTTAAAAACTTCAAAAATAAAAACCATCTTTACCAAACACAAAAAAAAACACTTAAGGCGGCAGAGGCAAAGAAAAAATATTTTCTGTTAAATGCACTTTGAGATATAGAAAATATATAAAAGTGGCAATAGTTTTCAACACACATTTTAATTCTTAAAACAAAACTTAAAGATACAATAATCTTTATTATTTTAAGAACACAAATGCACATTATATACAATTGAGAAACTTTAGCTTGTCATGACTAAAAATTTAGAAAATATTTGGTTCATGTTTATCTATTTTTTTTTATAGGCTTTAACATTAATATAGAAAATTAATAAAAATTATGTAGTTACATTAAGTTTCATTTGTGGTTTGAAAAGTCAGAGTAAGTAATATGATATGGAATGGATTTTTTGTGCAAGATCAATTTATTAAAAATGTGCATATTTAGCAAATAAATAATGAACTATTTAAAAATGTTTTTATGAAAATAGAAAAAGCAAAACAGAAATCTATGTAAAGAATATATGATATAAATTAAAGCGACAGTTAAAATAATAATAATGTTTGTCGAAATCTGTTTATTGATGGGAAAAAGGCAAATATATTAAAGCATGCCATAATTTGGTTGTGGAGAGAATAAAAAATTTGATTTTACAACCAATGAGGCCATCAGGATTATAATTTACTTTTCTTAAATTAATACAAGTCTATTTTTCATAATTACATTATATTAACTGTATTATGTATATTTTTACAATGAATTAAATGAAAATTTAGACTATCATTTTTAATTACAACATCTATTCATCTATCAAAAATTTGAAATGGACTTGATAACTACCCTTTTTATTCAGCCATGCCATGCCTGGAGATCTAATATTTCAAACATTCTTACATATTAAAATCTTAGAAATATAGGATTAAATAAATGTTAAGATGCAAAAGCATATAAATGAGATAGACATAAATTAGTTAAATATAGTATTTAAATTTAAGCATGAGCCAGATAAAGTATTCTAAAGTAATACTAATTTAGTTAAAGACTGCATTGTAATTTACTCAATGGTAAAAAAAAAAACAACACACACAACCAAATGCGAAAAAAATTGCAGATTAAACACCACTCAATTTAAAAAAAAACTTTTCTGGTCTACCCTACTACTATGTTTTACACACAAAAAAATGTTGACAGCAATGGTTACACAAAATAACTGTGTTTTGACTAAATGTGCACTTGGCTAAATAATCACATGTATGTAGTTAAACTTCAGGTTTTCATACATTACTTTGTTTTTGTATAATAAAACAAATTCATTACCACAATGAAAAATTTGGTAACCATACATATACATAATGTCTTATAATCACTTACGCTAACAAGACACAATGTCTTTAAGTTATATATCCAATCAGATGATACTGATCCTTACTTTCCTTAAATCAGATGATCGCATTTCATTGCTTCTGATTATCACATGGTTTCTGATAATCATGTCCTAATGTGTGACAAGTCACTCCTGGTTGTCACAAATCCTAACATGACAAGCTGTTCCTAAAATAAATATCCCACAACATGAGAAATTCTCTCTGATGACCAGTTGTCTCCCATCATGACCTCATGCAGCAAGAGATGATTGCATAAAGCTGCAAACACCACATCCAAGAAGAGTCAGGCCTCAGTTCTTTGTCATCATGTTCCCTATGGAAGTTCCTGTGTTCCTTGCAGATCTATCATTTGGGTCCTGGCGTGAAACTCTGGTGTAAATCTTTTCCTCCCTGCCTTCTTTCATAGCACAATATCGGGCAGCCATGAAAAGGTAATCACTTAACCTAAAGATTAACACACAAAAAATACAAAAGTAATATGCACTAATATTTCAAAAGTCAATAAGATAGATTTTCCAATGCTGTTAAAAGTCAAGTTACTATGACATCAATAATAAAGATCTTGGAGTCTATTTTAACTTAATTAAAATTAAAAGCAATTAAAACCTGTTGACAAATTTCAGAGTTTCCACATCAATTTCTTTGTCCCTAACAAGTGGGGCCATCCTGTAAAAAAAACAGAAAAAAATGATAACATACTAGCATTTTTTTTATCAACAGTACATCCAATTATTGTGAAGCTATTTATTAGTGCAACATTCAGTGACTATCAGAAGTTGTTAGTTTGAAAATCATAAAATTAAGTATTAAGAATTAGATGTAAGAAAGAGCATGGTCGGACCGTGGAGAGCACGACTGCTAACATAAAAGTCTCTGAATCAGGAAACATCACTGAGTCCACTCAACTCTGATTGGTGGCTGGCTCTACTCCATCTACCCTAGCGGCTATCAGGTCCAAAAAGGTGACAACATTTATGAAAAAAGTGTTTGTTAACAAATTTTTTAAAAAAGGGGAAGAAGAAATAACTCACCATCTCTCAGCACGTCTACAGACAGATCTTGCATAATGTAAGCTACACGCAGCTTTTCCACCTGACTGTAACATTAATGTATACATTCATCTTTTAGGAATAATTAATTACAGTTATCAGTTTGGTACTTAAAAACAGATAACATAAATTAGCATTAAATAACAAATGCTTCATTTAGTTTCACACAATTAAAAAAATAAATTCCATTGGCAAATGTCAAGATTATAAACTAATAATTAAATTGTATAGTAATTAAATACTGTAAAAAAGATTATTGGGTGAACAGATATCTTACAGGCAGGATAAAATTCTTCAAGGGAGGCAATTCAGCATCTAATTCATCAATCCATGACTCCAGTTCATTAATAATATTGCTGTCAAATTGAACTTGTTCTGAAAATTATTTAAAAAATCAAATATATGTTTAATGTAGCAATTTTTTTTTCCAAAGAAGTTGTTCAACTAAAATTTCTGTACCCAATTCTATGATATTAATTCAGCAGTTTGCAATTGGAGTTAGATACTATAATAGTTATATTATGCTACTGAAACATTTTTTTTCTGAAGATACTTTCTATTTGTATGATACATATAAATACATGTAATAAGTAGTATTTTAACATAGTACTTGTAAAGTTTTTTCACATATAAAATTAAGAGTAGCATACAGCAATAAAGCCACAAGTTAGCAAATACTTTAATTGAAAGACAAGATGAAATGAAAACTTACTCAAATGTGCCTCTCTGGCAGAACTGTATGGGGTGGCAATATTTGATCCAACATCTTGAAGAACACACTGAATCTGAGGGATCATGTATATGTTTTAGCATTGTTTAAACAATACCTAACTGCTTTAAAAACCTTATTCTTTATCCATTACTTGACATTTTTTCTATGAAAAATATAATTCTTTATTCTTGTGTTATTAACCTTTTCTGCTACTTCATTATACTTACAAGATGCAATTTCTCATCTACAGAATGACCTGCCTCTTTGCAATACTCAGCAGCCAAACTGTAAACAAAAGTTATAAAATTGCATGCAGTGTACAAATAAAAGTAAAATATTAACAATTTTAAATAATAGATATGTTGCAGTGATATTTTTAATAAACACTGAAAAATTACAAACCCTATGGCTGAGGAAAGCTCATCAGTGGATCCAAGAGCATGAAAAACTGTGTCATCCTTAGGCTTTCTGACACCAGTAAAAGTCATACTTGTCCCTAGAATTTACAAAGAGAATAAATTAAAATTATGGCTGCAGTTTCTAATAGGCCTATATAAAGTAGGACTTGTATATAATATTTACCTTTATCACCAGTTCTTGTATAAATTTTTTTGAAATACCTCACAGGATGAGAGGTCACCCTGCACAGAATATACAAGACAATCTGTTGTTTCACCATCACAAGAGTAATTTAATACACATACATTAGCCTAAGCCTAACTACATTAATTAATAAATGATGATTTATTGATTAGGTCTAAAACTGGAATGTAGGCATAATTTAATAAGGAAAAATTATTAAATAGATTAGGGTAATGACTATTTGAAAGAATTGCTGAGGGTTGCAAAAGTGACAAAACCAAACTAAAATTTAAATTAATAATACTTTTACTACAGCACTGAGAAAGGCCTATGAAGTTTAAATAGTAAATAGCTTTATATTACTTGATTATAATAACCATACGCTAAACATTACATGAAAATAAATCATTAAACTGATTAATTGCAACAATTGAAATCAATGAAAATTCCGAGGGATCAACAAGCTGAGTAAAAGAAAAGCTGTGTAAAGAGAGTAAAGTAAAGAGGGGAAAGTGGACCAAGTTCTGCAAAGTTTGTTTACATTTTCAAATGTTTTTTTACCTGATCATTTGTGCATGTTGTTTTACAAGAATGTTTATAAATTGAGACGCAGCTTTTAAACCGTTCATTTTATAAAGGACTGCTAGTACAGTTAACTGTGGAAAAAAGGCCTAAAGTAGAGTATACAAGTCTAAAATTCCCCAAGCTATTCGAAATCCCGTTCTATTATCGTCAAGCCGGTCGCCTGATGTTTGGCCTAGTTCCGTATTAGCGTAAATCTCATTTTCAAGAGAACATGAAAACTAATTCCGGAAAGCAATTCAGAATAGGCTCATTTACCTATTTTGTGATTTTTTTTAATTAAATTATTATTTATTTTTCCAAAATTACATTGAATGTCTATTGAAAACTTAAATTAAGTTCAGACGTTTTTATTTGTTGCAATAATTTATATTTCTATATTCTTATTATCGGAAAACAAAGCATCGATAGATTTTAGAAGGGATGAACGCACATTGAAATTATCTTTCTTCTGGTATTAATAATACCCCGTAGTTGTTATCCATAAATGATGCCACACCAATCAATCCCTTCAACCCTCCCCCACCCACACACACCAACTCACCAAAAACGCTACAGCTCAGCCCCTTTCCCCCTAAACTGCATTTTACTTTAAAATAATGTGTTGATAAAAATGTTGTCTTCAATGAATATAAAAAAAAAATTTAAGAAATTATTATTTTATAGCCCAATTGATTTTTGCCGAACATATTTCCCATCGCAATTTAATATTGAAGATTTCAGCGTTGCGTTACACTTCCACAACTTCCATCGTCGCAAAAGTCCGAGTCCTCTCTTCCCCCCCCCCCCCTCCCCTCCCGCCCAAAAGGAGAAAGACGTGATTTATTACGTCTCCTTTTTTGTCTTTGGGATCGTCCATAAATGACGTCACACTCGTAGGGGGAGGGGGTCCGTAATTTTGTGACGGTGTGTGATGAGGGGGAGTGGGGGTTCAGATGGTGTGACGTCACTTTTTAGCATTATAAAAAAGCAATGTTAGAAAACGAGTTTTAGCCGTTATTTTGCGTTTAAGAAAACGGTTTTAATAAATTGTTATAGGAATTGATCAAAATACTCTATTTTGACAGAGTTCTGACAAGATTTCGGAAAAAATATCGATGTTTTAAGAAAAACTCAACAGCAGTTTTGAGGGGAGTTGTAGGCTGAGGTGTGACGTCATTTTAGGGGTTAGGGGGGGGTCTGGCTTTTTGTGACGACGTGTGACGGAGGGGAGGGGTAAAAATCGTCCAAAAAAGCGTGACGTCATTTATGGATGACCCCCTTTTCTTATTAAATAAAATTAATTACTAAAAAAGTAAAAATACTGTATGTTCATATTCTGATTTAATTAAACTTTCAGTTTTTAAATATAGTAATATAGTTAATGTCGTACATCATATTACTTTTCAAATTTAGCAAAGCTTGGAATGTTTAAATAGGACATCAACATATTAATTTACAACCACTTTACAAATTATAAATTTATAGGCATGCGGTGCCAACTGTTTCATTTTTTTGTATCAACACGGAGAAACTTACGAAACTCCCCGATACTCAGATTATAATATAAGGTCATATATTAGGTCACTTTCACATTTTTTCAAATATATTCGTGTATTTTCCAATATTATTCGGTAAATGAAGAACTAAAATTTTAATCAACAAATAGAAGGGACATTACTCTTATGATTAAATTTTATGGCGTGATATTCCCTACTTTCGATTCGTTCAACAAAGTAATAACGCCGGCATCTCTCAGTGAACGGCGACGGCATCGGGTATCATATTACTTGTTAGTGAATCATGTCTTCTGTAGAATGGCCAGCTAAAGAAATTCACATATCAGCTCCGGGGAAAGTAATACTTCACGGAGAGCATGCCGTTGTTTACGGAAAGGTATGACTTAAGTTTTTTTTTTTTATTGTCGCTGTCAGTAAGTGTGTCTCACACTCACAGACACAGTGACAGTCACTCTCACTCAAACTCACTCATGGTCATGTCATACTCAAAGTTAGAAATAATAAGAGCAATAAAGAACATGAAAAATGGCAAAGCAGCTGGCCCTGACGGCATCCCAACAGAGGCACTCAAAGCAGACCCAGCCATACCTGGTATCAGTGGTATGATACCAGTACCAGCAGACATATTTAAATTATTCACTAATAAATACATCCTCTACTTAAGCAGATTTGGGAAGATGAGATAATCCCATCAGACTGGAAACTAAAGTTTCCCTTTCAAACCTGACAGTCTATGGGGCAAGTGAAGTGAAGTAGAGTTCACTTGTTTCTGTGACCTCGGCATATGAAGAGATAGTGTGGTCAGCACTATGCCCAGCCGCCTTTACTTTCCCTAACGTTAGTGAGGTACCCATCAGAGTTGGGAAACTGGGCTACCTGACATAACTGCCAAAGAAGGGAGACCTGACACAATGCAATAACTGGAGAGCAGAGGCGTAGCGATGGGGGGGGGGGGCAGGGGGGGGGGCATATGTCCCCGGGCGCCAACCTTAGGGGGCGCCAAAATGGGTGTAAAAATAAATTAAAATGTCATTTTAGCTGCATTTTTGCAGTTTGAGGGGGGGGTGCAAATCGAAAAGTTGAGGGGGGGGTGCAAATCGAAAGTTTGAGGGGGTGCAAATTTACTCCCGAGGGGGCGCCAAATTGAAAGTTTGTCCCTGGGCGCCGGGAAGGGTCGCTACGCCTCTGCTGGAGAGGGATAATGCTTCTTTCAGTCCCAAGTAAGGAGCTGACAAGAATAATCCTAGAGAGACTTAGAGATGCCTTGGACAAAAAGCTGAGATAAGAACAAGCTGGTTTTCGTCAAGACAGGTCATGTACTGACCACATTGCCACGCTGCACATCATTATAGAACAACAGCCAATAGATAAGGATATCAAGGCCCATAGATGGGGATGAATTGGACACATGTTAAGAAGAGAAAAAGATAATATTGCAAAACAGGGAAAAAGGAAAGTGGGCCGGCCAAAGAAAACATGGAAAAGAACGATCGATAGAGGAAGAGGCTAAGACAGCTGGGCTCACAGGGTGCTCAGATTAAGGGAGCAGCCCAAAACCGAGTCCGCTGGAAATGTGTAATTGCAGCCCTTTGCTCCCCAGGGGCCACAAAGGAATGATGATGATAGTGATTTCATATTAATCTTTTAATTTTTCTAATCTTTTTTAAAGGCCCTAATACGTTTTTAATTTATTTCTTTAGGCAGCAATAGCTGCTTCTTTAAACGTGAGGTGTTTTCTGAAGCTTAAGGTGATGTCAGATTCAAATATTTCACTTTGCCTGCCTGATGTAAACATTAACACTCAGATGTCAGTTTTATCCATTAAAGAACAGTTAGAAAACTTTATGGATGCTGGTCTGTATAACTCCATTACTAGTTCTAATTTACTAACCTAAACTAGTCCTCAATTACCTTTATCAGCTTGGCCTTTACAAATAAGCTACTCATTATCTTAGCAAATATACAGGTAAATACAAATACCAAATTAAATAATTTATTTTTGTTATCTGCAGGTTCAATCAAGGACCCATCAGGTGCAACAGATGACATAGTTCTAAAAATTAAAAAGTTTGCTGGCATTGATCCTGAGAACAAAGAAACAAAAAATTTGGCCATTGTAGCTTTTCTTTATTTATATAGCAATATTTTCCATGAAAAAGGGTAATCAAGCTTCTCATGTCTGAACAATCAGAGTAGTTATTATTAACTATAATTTTAAACTTGAGGCATAACCCCTTATGACTATTAAATCTTTCCTAACTACTTCATACTTGGCAATGGAAGTTCCTTTTTTTTTAAATCATGCTTTCTTGTTAACTGGTGGATTTTATATATATAAATTTAATAGCTTATCTTATTAACTTTAGTTAACAATGTTTCAATACAGTTGCTTTTATTTTCAAATGCTAACCAATTGGTCTACATTTTCAGTGAATATCCAGCCATGTCCATTTCTATGAAATCTGATCTGCCAGTTGGAGCAGGGCTTGGGTCATCTGCTGCATTCTCTGTATCTTTGGCAGCAGCATTTCTTGAGGTAAGCTAATGAAGCAGAGATTATTTGATTTTTAATTAGTGTAATAAACAAAATGCTCGACTGAATTGTTTTTGAGAAAATTTAGAAATTATATATAAATTAATAATAAATTAATGTAATTTTTTAATTTTTTAAACTGTAACTTTTGAAATGTATTTCTGTAATGTATGATCAGCTTGCAGGCTTTATTGAAAGTCAAAAGCTAGAGGATGAAGGGTTATCATGGAAACCAGAAGATAAAACTGTCATCAACAAATGGGCTTTTATTGGGGAAAAAATTATCCATGGGCGACCCTCAGGCATTGATAATGCTATTAGCACATATGGTATTTCTTCTATTACATTTTGTTTAAAAGCTATTACAGTTTCTTTGCTATAAATTTTATTGAAATAATATTGTGTATATACATTATTTTTTTCTCTAACTTTGTTGGGATTTTTTAAGGTGGTGCTTTAAAGATGCAAAGTGGAACCATAACTGCATTTGAAAAGTATGTCCCTTTTTTTAAAACTATTTATTTCAGTTATGTGGTGTATTTCTTTTAATTTCACATTTAAAATTAAAATGAAATGTGTTTCATTTCTCCACCTTTCAATGGATTAGAAAAACATTGTGTTGTTCTGGTTAGATCTTAAACTAGAAATATGTCGGCTGATAAGGTTTTTAGATTAAGTCAAAATTATTGTAACTGCTTAATTAAGAGATTTCCACATTATTATTTCTTAGGTAAATTATCTTAAACACTGAAATCACATGTAGATTATAAGAAGAAAAAACAGGAAGTCTGCGTAGTTCCAGCTAAATCTTGTTTATCAATGATGGTGATTTTGTTATTGTAGAATGTCAACCTTATGTCAGTCATACTAATTCATACTTTTGTTATTGTAGAATGCCAAGCTTGTCAGTCATACTAATTCATACTTTTGTTTTGGCAGAATGGCAACTTATCAGTCATGCTAATTGATACTTTTATTATTGTAGAATGCCAACCTTATCAGTGATGCTAGTCAATACACAAGTACCCAGAAGCACAATGACATTGGTGGCAGGGGTTCGGCAAAAACACAACTTGGTAAAAATTTTATGTGATACCCTAGTCTCTCTGATATCAGTCTATTTCTCACCATTTTATTAATTACCACTTGATTTGATACTCTTTTTTTTTCGTTCCATATAAGGTTCCTTTTAAAAAGCTTTATTTTAGTTGCTTCAATATATTTTAATTAAAATTTGATTCTTTCTGCACAGTAAAACGAGAATTATCTTTCCTTAAATTTTTTACTGTGGTAGCTTTTTATTTTACATTGCTTCGTGAATTCCTCACTAATAGTATCAAGATATAATGGACCCAATTTTAAATGCTGTCGAAGCCATTAGCAAGAGAGCTGAAGATATATACAAGTCGTCTATTAGCCCTGAACATTATAAAACACTTGGGGTAAGATGGATATAAATTTCTTTAGTCTAGTAAATAAAATAATGAATTGGTTTTCAACCCTTCTTTTCTCTGAACAGTGGAAGTAGAAAAAATATTAAAAATTATCATAATATTGAAACTTGATTCTTTTACTTTTTAAAAAAAAATTGCATTTTGTAAACCTGTTGTTTTTTTTTTGTTTTACAAAAAAAATATTGTTACAGCATACATTTTGTATGATTGTGCTTTTTGTTTCTGCAATTTATATCATATCTATTGATCTTAAATTGGTAATGGATTGGACCTGTAAAAATGGTGTTGAAAACTTTTTCAGTCACTATCACAACAGATGCAAATAACTTTAAAATACTGACCACAGACGGCTTAAACTACTGATAAATGGTTCATTGTAAATATATATAAATATATATATAAACCCCTTAATAATGGCTATCACTAGTTCTCACCACACCGTCTCTTCCAATAGTTTACTTAACATCATATAGCACACATTGCTCTTTACCAGGAACTAATGGAGTTGAACCACAATCTTCTCAATGCTATGGGAGTTGGGCATCCAACGCTGGATCAGATTGTTGCCGTTACAAAGAAGCATGGATTCCATTCCAAGTTGACTGGAGCCGGGGGTGGTGGTTGTGCCTTTGTTCTTGTCCCACCAAGTAAGTTCTATCTCGTTTAACTGCTGAAAGGTATGGACAAATTTATGTTTTTTTGTTCAGAAAACGCACACAGACCCCACCTTTATGTCCCTGTCAAGAACTGAATGTAGTAATTAGTTAAAAAATCAAAATGTGAATTCTGGCATTTTTTGTCATTAAAAAAATGCATGGCATGTCCATACACTGAACTTTTAAAATTACAATTTGTATTAAACCTTTTTTTAAATAGCATCATTGTAATGTAATGCTAGGTGCACATATGATATATTTATAAGTCATTTAACTTTACATACTTTAAATAAACATTGGTATTATTTTTTTACTCTTTGCATAAACAGGCTCATCTGATGATTCAATAGAAAGTTTAAAGACTGAACTCACTGACTTAGGATATCAAGTGTGGAAAAAAATTTCTGTTGGTGGTCCTGGCGTTTTAAGAGAATTGTGATGAGATATTTAAAAACAAATGACGTTTACTTTTTAGGGTATTTATTTTTTAAATATATTGAACTGCATTTTATTTTGTTATTTTTTTAAATTAACTGTTACTACAAATGTACAAAGTATTTATTTGTTTTAAAACATTTACATGATTTTTGAAAAAGTTGATTTGTTTTTTGGTTTTTTTTCATAATGTATGCATGTTTTGCTGAATTGGGACATAAATATAGTTAATATATGCAAATCAATTTTTGTATTGACTACCGATTACAAAATACACAGCTCAATATAGTTTGGTCTTTTTTTTTTGGTTAGGCAAGTAGAAAAAAAATTTGTTATTTTAGCAAGAATTTTTTTATACACTTCAATAAACAGATGTTTACATTGCAAATCAATATAATTTTGAAACATTTCTTTGAATTTCTATCTCTTTTAATGATCACAGACAAAAAACACATTTCAATCACAGCATCTAAAAGGAACATAGAAAATAACTACATTGCTTGCAAATTAACACATCTGCAGGCTATGTAGCTGAGATTAATTTATGATTTAACTGGCCTTTGAGATGCTAACATTGTAGCAAATATATTAATTTTTTTTTTTACTGACAATTTAAACAGACATGACATATGATGTTTAAGCAGGTTTTCTTTCCAAACAGAATCTCTATAACAATCACAGACACACTGGAACAATTATTTTTATTGTCTCATTTTATTCCACCATTTTCTACTATTCTTTTTACAATGAAAAATAATCATGCAATATTTAAATAAATGTTTTGAAAAAATTTGCTTCTTTATCATACTGTTACTTATTGTATTTGCAAATGTTCATGTTGAATATATGAACTAAGCAAGGTTTTATAATCATTTGTGTGACCCTACAGCCCACTGAAGGCTATGGCCTCCTTATAGATGTTCATATACCTAGATAATTTTAAAACAATAGGTTTGAAGGCAACAGCAGTTCTTCTGGTATTATAGAAAATAAATCTGGTTTAAGTTTAAATGTTTATTTAATGTTAATGAAAAATACTGAAACATTAAAAAAAAACAACAGAAGAATGTTTTTAAAACATGCTGAAAAAATGTAGCTTACTTAAACTTTAAAAAACAAGGATACAAGGGATATTTGGGGTTATTCGAATGAATAATGATGGATCACTCACACAATACTGTCAAAATTCAATGATTTTCTAGTAAATGCAGAACAATTCTTTGTCTGTTGTCTTTGTATAACAATACATAAAATCTACATTAAACCACTAAAGTAATCTCTTCATAGACTAACAATACATAAAATTTACATTAAATGACTGCAATCATTCACAGCAAATGAATGACAAACTTTTAGAAAGCTATGAATCTCATATCCATTTTGCCATGTTTTGTATTCTGTTGGGCAAAAACAATAGCTCCAAATAAATATTTATCTTTTTAGAAAAATATACATACTGTAGCATTAAAGCATGCTTCAAAATACGTAACAAACTCCTGTATTTTGATTGTAAATAGAAACATCACCAAGACAAATTTGTGGTGGCTGAAACTGGTAGTTTGGACACAAGTCACTGGACACACAGCACCATAAACCACTTCACTAAAGCAACGAGTTCAAATAAAACTCAAGAGTGGGCCAAGGATAACGACACAACAAGCCATGCAGTCCATTATGCCAATAGGTCGAATCATGTGTTACAGCTACTGCTACAACTTCTCCTCCCCCTCCTCCACTTCCTTTAAGCTCATCATCTCAACCTGACCTTTCCCTTTGGTTTCTGATGTCACCAAGTCAAACACTTCCCTGTAGCAACCTGGGTCGACTAAGAAAACCTGAGGAAATAAATATTAATTAACTAATTAACTCAACACGTAAAATGGTTTTTAGATTTAAATTACTTTTTTTTCTAATGTATCTTCAAGTGATTACTTCAACTGGAGATTTAATTCTTTTGTAGTTTTTAATATTCAATTATTTTTTTTTTTTTTTACAGCTCTTAAGTATTTAATTCTATTGTAGCTATAAGTACTAAAGTAAGCTAAAACAGACAGAAGAATGTTTTAGTAATAATTGAAAAATCAGTTTCTCACCATTTCTAAGTCATCTTCAAAACTGTCTTCTTCTATTTCAAGTGCAAGTTTTCGTAGATGCTCCCGGACTTTCTTACCAGATTTACCTGCAATTTTAAACACAATTTGTTTTTAAATTCCACCATTAGCCACAGATCTTAAAAAAAGAATTTTTTTATTCATACACTTTCTAGCAAGGTAAATAACATACCTGGAACAACAACTCTTAATTTCATATGGGCTCTCTGTATTTCTAGTGTTCCAGTTTCTTTCAGCTGTTTGATTACCTCAAGGGCCTAAATACATGAACACCTGTTAGCCTTATTACAAATACAGCAGAAATCTTATTCCTATGACAAACAATTTATTGTTAATAGTAATTCTGTAATTAGGAAAAAATTAACCTGCTGTTTTGTATTTTTGGAAGGTTTGACTGAGAAATGCATTGATTTCATAGACTTTTCTATCATTGTCACAGGGTAAGGTCTTTTTGTTTCAGGATGAACACATTTATCAGCCACAATGGTTGCGATATCACGAAACATCTCGTCCAGTTGGGCTGCGCGTTCTTTCTCAGAAACTTGAAGCTCTCCCTTACTGAGAATCTGATATAATACATCATGAAAATTAGCTGAAAGAAAGGCATATTTCAAGGTTTTATTTACAAAAATATAACAGTTAAAAATAATCAATTAACACTATAGTGCTTGTAACATTTAATCAATTAAGTTTATGCAAAAAATCAAATTCTTGAATTACTCTACTATTTTTAATTTCTATAATACCTAAATCCTAAATGCACAAGGTTTTACTTACTAGTTTGCAAATTTCAGACTCATCATCCATGTCAAAAACTTTTTTAAGATCTGCCAGTTTGGCAAACTCGCCTTTGGACACATTGGTAAAAACTTTAGGTGTCTGAAGCACCTCATCAATATCAGTTTCTCTGAAACATCAAATTGTAATACTAGATGTAAATGTAAATGAATTTCACTAAAGTAACATTTCAATAAATAGCATTTTTTTGTGTAATTTTTTTAACAAATACGAGCAATATTTTTACTTACATTTTATTTCTCCACTGAGTGACTTTATTGGGATAACAAGCTATTTCAAATCTCTTTCCTCCTTTCTTTAATCTCACAATAGCAACATTTGTTAATCTTTTTTGGCCGGTTGGTTGTACAATTTTTCCTGACATTTTACCAGGAACATGAAACGGCAACTAAAAGTGTTCTAAATATTAGATAAAATATGGTAAATTAGAAATTATTTAATTTAAAAAATTTAGCAAGACAAGCTACTTTAGTACTTGAGACTTTGATCTTAGTGAATGAACCAACTGTAAACTAGTGTGTAAACAATAGGCCCTAAATTTTTAAAATAACACTAATATTAAATACGAAGTGACTACTCTGAAAAACATTATTCAGCAGAAGGTACAAAACTCAAAAGTTTTCCGCATGCATAGTGACTTTAATAGCTAGGGCTCTGCGGTTTGTTTGTAAAACACACACTAGCGCAGTACCATCAAAAACATTGCAACGAATGAAGGCGGTAGTTTCTCTCCACTGTGCAAGCGTATCTTTTTCCGGCTCGAATCGGCCTATTGAATAACAGATGAATAGAGTTGAGTTTTCAAAACACAGTACGGACTCAAAGTGAAAGTACACTGTATGTCAGTAGTGTAGTACACTTCTTAACACTACAAAATCTAATTCTAAATCTAGACTAGTCACTAGATTCTAGATCTAGATCTGAAACAAAAAGCAAAAATATCCTACCACGACCGGATTCACTCAGTTTGCAGAGAGATTGTGAATGATCACTGCTGAGTGAGTGAGTGATTATTTTATTTATTTAGGCCTAATGTGAATAATTTAACTATGTTTGAAAAGTTTGAATGATGGAGGATGATCCGGTCAAGATGATGATCAGATCCAATCATTCAATCATCAATCAAGTCATGAATGATGAATCACGACAATGAAAAATCCCCGAGCGACTCCAAACTTGGATCTAGATCTAGACTAGATCAAGACTGATATTTCAGATGTCATTGCACAACTTACCGTAACTTTGGTCGTGAACTCTCAAACGTGTTGAGAGTAAAAGTAGAATGTAAACAAAACTCGGAAGTAGAATTTGTTATCATAATATGGCACTATTGAAAATATGTCTCAAAATAAAATGGGACATAACATTTTTATCCAAATGAGATTTTATTATTATTATTTATTAACGAAACACATATTAATTATAAATCGGGAGTAGTAAATTACTGTTTGCCAGCTTATTTAAAAAAAAAACTTTTTGACAGCTTTCCTCTTCATGATTTCATCAAAATATTAAAAATAAATATGAACTGGTTATGCGGAATATGCTCCAAATACCCTGAGCCTTCTTTTCCTTTTTGGATTTGCAGCAGTTGTTTGATTTTGGAATGTTCTCTCCTTGATATATGGCATTATATGGGTTTGAATTCAGCAATTTTTGGTCGAACAATCATGAGCTTTACCACCTACCAACTGGAAGACTCCTAGATCTAGATCTAGTTGTAGTTGACAGCTATATTCCATGTTTTTAACACCCTTCTCTCTTAGTCTTATGTGACAGCTATCTCACAATCCCAAGTCTTCAACATCTTTATTTCTATAACATTAGTTAACAGGAAGCATAACTTAGTGGCACGTTGTGTAACCATTTGTTGGGAGTATGTAGCAAGTTAAAGTATTAATTAATGTGTGTAGTTATTGATGAATTCCAATTTTACTTAATGGAAAAATCAACTCATGGCTAGGTCAGTTTCTTCATTGACACAACTCTTTACTAAATAAAATACTGCTGAAATTTTCTGTGGAATAAGCTTTGGTGTCCAGGTATGGTCAATTTTGTAAACAGCCAATAAAAATGACCTAAAATGTTACATTATATCTTTTAGGGATACACAAAGTCACATACACAGAGACATAGCTAAGGGAGAGCTGGTAGAGTTGCCACCCCAGGAGCCGACCAGGTGATGAGCCAATCAGGGTAGAAAAAAGTACATTATAGCTGTTTTACTGAACTGTACAAGGTCAAAGTTTAAAAAATATACTGCTTCTTGGTGTAATGGGTGTATCTAACTGTCTTTATATAAATTGTGCAAAACAAAAACATTTAAGGGGTTGTGACAGATAAAAAGCAAAATTGACCTTTCCTTTCTGGCAAAGTTAATAACTCTAAATACATGGGGAGGGGGCACAACATTGATAGTTTGCCCCCATACATTGGAATGGATCACTACACTTCTGCACATACACACATAATAAGAGTGTCTGGAAGCAGGCAGTGTAGCATAAATAACTATATTAGACTGTTGTTACTACACACTATCTAGACAAAGGTACAGGGAAATTGTTATTTGTAAAGACAGATGAGTACACCAAAATGGAATCAGAGACCACCAGTCTACAACAGCACATATTTACTGTGTGATCAAGCATCTTGTCAGACAATTTTAAATACTAACCATTTGTCTTTACCAAAATGAAGATCGTATCAGTCACTATTTACACCAGAACCCATAAGAATTGGGTAGACTCAGCAGTCCTAAACAAATGAGACTTTCTAGTAAGCTGTCTATCACCTAACCTGTCTCTCCTATTCACACATGTAGCTCATTCACACAACATACAGCACCCACTCCTCTAAGCTCATTCACACAACATACAGCACCCACTATATTGTGATTCATTTACACATATCACACCCACTATCATAAAACTTATCACACCCACTCCTCCAATAAATATGTACAACATAGAGCACACAATCTTTCAATGGCTATGATTTGTTCAAATATGTAGCACCACTCCTTCAGTAACTACATACAACTATCTACATTTAGCACCCACTCTTCAAATGGCTATGTATGACAGCACTCGCTCTTCCAATAACTATATGCAACACATTTAGCACCAACTCCTCCAAAGGCTGATAGTGTTATTACTGGTTTATACAACAATTACACCAATAACCAAAAAGAATGTCTTTAATTGTTGATAAACCAAATGCAGAAAAATGGTTTAAAAGTGTGAGCCAATATATAAAGTGACATTGGATTCAAAGCCAGGGGAAGCTGTCTGTCAGGAGAATTTAAATGACATAATCAGGCAAATAACGTTTGATGAGAAATTTTATTTATCTAAAGAAATAAACATTAAGTTGAATATCATGAAGATTAAATGAATGAAACCAACTTTCTCAAGCATACCCAATGGTATTATCATCAAATATATACTAAAACATGTGATATGGACAGTATAAACACAACAAATTATACAAGATGGAGAGAATTGATAGACACTGCCAGTCCATCTTTAACTGGATGGAAGCAAATTTTTTTTAATTTGAAAAAAAAAAACAATTCAAGGTAAGCTAATGGCCTAAACAAAGAGCAAGCCAACTTTCTTCTTGTAAAGTGTACACAAACTTACAACAAAAGCAAAAGGAACAACAAGGAAAATTTATTTCTTTACTGAATTATAGAGCCTCATTCACTTTCATTTACTTCATTCAGCTCAGATGATATGCAACCAACATCTTTTATTTTTATCATTGATAAATAAACAAATCCCTCAATCTTGTTAAACCAACTGATATTGCCACAATGGGGCTTAGGTTGAAAATTAAGTGAGTTTTAACTTTTTTTTTATTGATGAAACTTATAAACGAAAACTAAGTTAGTAACCCTGAAACTGCACACAGATAAAAGCAATTTGTTTATTCTACTTAGAAAAACAACATGTAATATTAGAAGATGGTGAGGCAATAAAAACAAGTTTAAAAATTACAAAATTTAAACAGATATTGAAAGAAATTTTGTTGAATTACTTTTAGGTGTGCAATAAAATGCTGAAATAAAACAATTAAATACTGTACTTAAGAAGCAGCTAAACCAGTTTGAAATTATCATATTACTAAACCAAAAAAATACATCAATATAAATAAACTCATTCTGTATAGAAGTAACTTATAATATCACAAACAGCACCAAACTATCATGTTAATCTTAAGAGCTTTACTTTAGGTTCGTCTGACCCATACTGCTCATCCTCCCCAGACTGATCTATTTGTAAACTAATGTTCTCTTCTGAGGTTTGCACAAAAATCCTTTCACCACTGTCTATATCCATTACAAATGTTCCCCCTAGCTCCTGATCATCATTAGCACCTTCTATTACTGTTACATCTGTACCCAAGGATGCAAGACCATCGGCTGCAGCTACTACTTCTAAGTGACAGTGGTGACCGCTGACCGTGTTCACGTGGTCATCTGATTTCATATCATTGTCTAGCTGGATTAGTCCATCACCAGAGCCATTGTTGGTTCTAGAGCATAATTTGTCACTCTCCTGCGCTGTTAAAACATGACCAAACATGAGTTGAGCAGTGTCTGATAAAGCAGTGGACGTAGAATTGTTTGGACTAGAACCAACTTTATTCTCCGAACTGGATTTTCTATCACCAGCTGAAAGAGAAATAACAGAGTCTATGGAACGCGTCACGACAACGTGGCCTTCAGAAGTAGTGCACAAAACGTGAAAACCTTCGGGAATTTCATTTAGGTGGGTGACAGTCGAAGCATCATCCAGCTGATGCACAGCAGCAGCTTCTAAATTATCCGACAAGGAATTGTCACTGTTCTCTGCTAAATCCTGACCTAAATTGTCTTCAACTTTGATAACATGCTCCTGATGGTGATGCATCTCTTGGGGATTCTCCTGATGGATGATGGTCACAGAATTTTGTGGTGGTTGCATCTGACACTGCTCTAGGAACTTAGACAGCTGTTGGCTTAAGCCTTGCTTATTGGCATCACCAGAGCTGAGAGCATCAATAAGTTCTTGAAGCTTGAGTTGGCTTTGATGAGCAAGTTGTGCTTCCATCTCAGCTAACTGCTGCTGAAGCAGCTCCACCTTAAAATAATATGTTTAAATAGTATGGGGTTTTGTAATGATTTTCATGCAACTAAGATTATCCTACCAATTTTATATTAAAAGTGTAAGGCCTTTTTAAAGTGAATATAATGTAATACAAATAAGCACTATAAAATTCAGCTTTACTTGGGCTTTGTATTCTTCTGCTTTTGATTTGTACATGTTCTTTTCCTCCTCCTCCACCCTAAATCTGATTTCCCAGGATAAGCTAGGATCCACACTCCCTTTACTTAAAGATGTCAGCTCCTGTGAAAAGGAATACAAGGACTGTTAATATAATAAATTTAAAATAGTGTCCTGGTATTTGTAGATAATGCATCTTTCTAATACAGTACTTACCCCTGAATTAATGATATGACTAGCAAATGCAGATTCCAACTGATCCCCTTGTATGATCATGATTGTTTCTTCATCTTCATGGTTTCCAGTACCTTCTCCCTTACCAAGCAACTCATGTTTGACTTTGATCTTTTGTACATTCCCATGCCTGTTGCTAGTGGAACCTATTTGCGTTTTTTAAAAGTTCATTATTTATACAATTGTTTATTGAACAAATCTTAAAAGTATTCTCTATTCTCCATATTCACAGGCATGACACTAATATAACCAATAACAACCTGCAAACTTCCTACTGAAGAAAAAAACAGGAGATATGGTTGGATGGGGCACACAGTGCATAAATCATGAAGTATAAAAGATTGTTACAAAAACAAGAACTTTGAACACCAATTGGAATTGGAACCAGCTGAAGTAAAGGGCACATACTGCAGCAGGAGTGATAAAAAAATGATGATAAATTATGGTACATTTTGTAAAAAGTAGTCAGAAGATATGTTCTAACTATATACTGCTTAAACTACTACTGCATACGAACAATTACTTACTTTTATCTGTTAAGCCTATGGTGGTCTGGGAAAGAGTAGGGTGAATAATCTCTTGGACAGGATTTTCAATGGACGCAAAAGCATCTTGACTAGAGTTACTTAGATCATCATGATGCCTTACTTCAGGCGGAGAGTTTAAGTCCTGGAAAATAAGAATGGACATTGGTTGTAACCTCTTATTTTAAATAAGTTAGTTTTAATCATGAGTCTGTTCAAGTTGAAATGTAAAATAATAATTATAATTGCTTGGTTTTTATAACGTAAAAAAAAACAACCTTGAAATAAAACTTCTTACTTGTGTAATTTGAATCTGAAATGTTGTTTGTGGATTTCGAAAATGGGTTTTGTAGTGTTTGATAGCCTCATCTCTTCTATTGAAACCATTTCTGCACCTGTAGCAGTGCCAATGTGCTCCTTTAAATCTCTTTTCTCCTTTTATTATTCCAATGATGTCACACTGATCACAACATCGAAGAATTTTCAAACCTACATTATTTTTAAAAAGCGTTAGCATTATCTTTATTAAAACACACTATGATAGAATATAATGAATGTATATTTTTGGTAAATATTGGAAACCAATTACCTGCAAATTCTATGCCCTTATCTACATGTTTAACTCTGTAATGCGCCTTGAGTATGACAGGGTCTTGATAAGCATCAGTTTTAACACAGAATGGACAATGTAGATGGGGTGCTTTAACTGGACATCTATCATCAAGACATTGGGAAGGTGTATAACTATTCTCAGTACCTTTTATTCTCACACTGGGGTGTGTCTGCAAAATTACAGTTAAATGTTATTTAAAACACATTTTCCAGAATAACTTTAGGACTAATTAATAGTAATTAAATGTCTGTAGATTTTCTGCAGAATGGAACTTTTTATCTGTGGGAAGAAGGGAGGGGGGGGGGAATTTTGGTACTAATGATAAAACTGAATCATTGTCATTGTCCTTGAAGTTTAGTGCAAACCTAAACTAGTAAACTAACTATAAATTAAACTAAATTATTAAACTATTAATGTTAAGTTAATAAGTTTAGTAATCAGTACTAAGACTAATGTAAAAAGAAATTGATTCATTCTGCTCATTCCATTGCATAGGCTCTAGGTCTTGAACTAGAATCTAGTAAGTTAGTAGTCTAGTAGATGATGATGAGAGAGAGATTATTGTTGGAATATTCAACATTTATCGAATCATTGATCAATGATTAATAATCATACAAAACAATGATGATCAGATTCAGATTGACAGATTTCATCTTGCTTTTGCTTGACTTGTACCAAAAAAATCTCATTCAATTTTCGAATTTTGGTAGGCCCTAATTTTTAAGCACCTAAGTTTTAAGTAGCAATGCATGCAAAAAGCAATTTTATAAACAAAACATGCACTTACAACAAATGCCAAAGAACTCATATCGAAACCGCTATTTTGTTCTGTTTACACTGGATAGGCAACCATGTGAAATACTCAACAGTTTATCGTAGAAAACCAAAAATAAACAGACACTTGTGTTCACGTCATTGAAATGGACGGTGTAAAAATTAATGACGTCATGAGTTTAGTACGCAAAGAGGTCACTGATATCATTCCGCTAAGGGAAATTACTCTCGATATTTTATTTTTATGATTTACAGCTTGGGCCCAGGCCTAAAAAAGCAGTGAAGTTTTACAATTCACTACAGGGAGGACAGAGAATAATACTAAAATAAACTAGATCTACGTGACATTCAGCTTGACTTCATGTTACTTTTTTTAATATACTGTTAGTATACATTGCAGAGCACTGCCTTTATTAATTTAATTATTAACGTTTGTCATTAAATAAATTTAATAAATCAACAGACGTTGACCGTTGACTCGTTCTACAACATTACAACTATTGTTACAACAGTCTACAGTCACTACACTGTCTACAGCTACACACACTTATGACTTATTAATTAATTAGTCAATAATTATAGTCATACTCATAACACTGTGACAGTACTGTGTGTACTACACCAGTGGCGGAACTAGAAAAAAAGGGCCACCCCGCAAAAAAAAATTTTGGGCCCCCCCTATATATATATTATATATATATATATATATATATATATATATATATATATATATATATATATATATATATATATACAAACACAGAATACAAACACTGATCGGGTTTTCAAAAAATAAATGGTTTTTCTTTTAGATTAAACAAATTACAATATGTCATTTGCGTGAGTCCATTTATCGGTTTTGAAATATATATTTTTTTATTTAGAACTATTTTATTCAATATGTCTGTTTTAAAACTGCCTACCCTCTTGTCTTCAGCCGGTCAAAAGAGTATAAAACATGAAAGCTTTTTATGTGTAATGGTTTCTCGTGTTATGTTTATTTTTATGTTGTTTTTTTTTTTGTATTTAATTATTTGTTTTAAATATATTTCCTTTTTATGCTATGTCAATCTTAAGTATGAATTTTTTTTTAATAATAATTAAGAGATGTAATTGCTTTTAATTTGTTTAGTACAAATATATTAAAAGGAGCTTATTTAACCATTTTAAAAAAGGGAAATAAGTCATGGAAGTGTTTTGAACGTTTGCATATCTTTCACACTACAGCTCAGGCATATATTTTTTTTTACGTTACAACATGTTAGCTACTGTATAACATCACTACTGTAATAGATCTGTTTGTTATTTACAAAAGCTTTTACCGTAAAGTCAAAAATGCAAGAAAATTATTTTTTTTAACTATAAAAATTTATTATGGTCGGTCATGGGCCCCTAAATGGCGTGGGCCCCCCCCGCATTGCGGGGTCTGGCGGCACTGTAGTTCCGCCCCTGTACTACACACTACGTGTAGTACTCTATCTTACAATCTTAGACAGTTATTTTTAGTTAATTGTACTGAGTACTGTAGTAGTTGTAGTGACATAGAAATAATAGATAGTCTCTGAGTTTCTTTTAGTATTAATAATAAGTAAGAGTTAGACTGAAAAACTTTAGAGTTAGACAGTCACTTTTGGTAAAAAAATGGTTACAATAGGCCTAATAATTAATAATTTAATAATTATGCTACACACACACACAATTAGATCAGATCTAGCAGTAATAATAATAATAATTTAAATTGTTAAAAAGTTGAGTGTCATACGTCATATAAAAAAATAATAATGCCCACATGCGCAGGACAATAAATTTAATAAAAATAAATTTGATTGTTCGGCTAAAAATAGTGAAGTACGAATAGCCTTCTGAGGGCTATTTGTAGTAAAGTACCAGTAGACACTTCCAATTCAATTTAATAATAATAAATGTAATAATGATAATGATTAATGATATACTTATTACTTATAGTTAATATACTCATCTATTTAGGCCTAATATTAATAATAAATCTGAATTGCTCTTACAATTTTTTTTGCTGTCATTTTTCATGAAAACATATTTTTACAAGAAAAGTAAATTACCCAAGTTTTGCAAACTAAATAGTTTTTCTTTTAACTTTAGCTTCCTATAATTATAATTCTCAGTAGCATTGAGAAGTAAACTAAACGTCAGCCCTATTTTATAGTTGACCTATTGATTAAAGGTGCTACCTAAATTTTATTCTGAATCATTATTTTTCTCAACCTTTTAGATGACTGATGTCAATGATGTTCATGTTTATTGGATGAAAGAAGCCTTAAAGCTTGCAGAAAAGGCATTACAAGCACAAGAAGTTCCTGTGGGTTGTGTGTTTGTTTATAATGATCAAATTATTGCAACTGGGGGCAACGAGGTAAATGAGACAAAAAACGCTACAAGGCATGCAGAAATAATTGCTATTGAACAAGTCAGAGATTATTGTAAATTGAATGGACTTAATGAACGTGATGTTTTTCTTAGTTCAACACTTTATGTCACAGTTGAACCTTGTGTTATGTGCACTGGAGCTCTAAGACAAATTGGAATTCCTTTTGTTGTGTATGGTTGTGCTAATGAACGTTTTGGAGGTTGTGGATCTATTTTAAATGTTGCCAGTGATGAAGCTATAACAAGCAGCCTGGGACCTTGTTTTGATGTAATTGGTGGTCTGTTAGCTGATAAAGCCATTGACTTACTGAAGAACTTTTACAAAGGGGAAAATCTTAACGCTCCTGATACCAAAAGAAAAAAGAAAATTACAAATGAATCCAAGGTTATTGCTTTACTCTATTATTTTTCTTTGCCACTGGTAAATGTTGAGCTTTAACCCTGTCCAGTCTCTGACTTAATGAAATGATTTTTAGCTGTTATCTTACTATCACAATTCTCATTCTTTAAAATTTGTTGAACTAAAAAACTGTCATACGTTTTAAAAATATTTTTAAATGTTTATTTTAATTTCAATATTTCAGTAATTTAATTATAATGAAAAGTCAAAGTCACAGGCTATTTTCTCAGCTTAACAAGCAAAAGCTGCTTGTCAAGTACTTGAAGTATGTACCTCGCATATTTTCTTTCTAAATTACATATTTTTTAAAGCTATTAGTTTATTCAATTTATAGTTATAATGTATTTCTATTTATTTTTAAGAGAAATATTATATGAGTTTAAAACGCAGAAATTTTTTTATAGTGTCACCCATTACTTACAAGCTTTCACGAGGAACTATGCTACATCTGAAGTTAGTAATGTTAAAAGTGAAAGTAGGAAGAGGCTGGTGATTCTGGGAACAGGCTGGAGCAGTTACAGTGTGTTGAAAACAGTCAACAAAAACATTTATGATGTCATTGTCATTAGTCCACGAAATCACTTTCTGTTTACACCTCTTCTAGCAAGTACTACAGTAGGCACACTGGAATTTAGGTTTGTATCTTTTGCTCATTCAAGATTGATTTACATTTTTTTTATTAATCGCGGTTATTGAATAGGAAAATGTTACTTACTAATAAATAGAATCTACTATAAATAAACGGGGGGGGGGGGCTTTAAAATTTATAGAATAGCATCATTTTAGGGTTCTTCTTAGTGAAAGTTTAAATTTTGTTTCAAGTAATTGTAGTGTAAAAATAAAATGTGAAGTATCTTTAAAAAAATAGTCCACTTTATAGCACAGGCTATTTGTTCATTGGGATAGAGGAGCTGTTGTTTAAAGAAGAATAGAAATACATTTCTTTTGCTCTATTAGATATCTAACATTTGCATTATTATTTTATATTAAGTTCTTAATTTTCATACCTTTTATCATCCTGCACTCGCAATGGATTTATAAACCATGTTTACTTCATAGCACCTTTGCCAGATAACACATTCAGTGAAATTTTTTTTTAAAAATACTTATAACTTTTGTTCTTGACAGGATTTTTAACAAATAAAGTGTGATATTGTTATAGCAGTTAAATTTTTTTAAGTGGAATTCTCCAGTTGTATTCATTTTTCAACTTGTAGATCTATTATAGAGCCAGTACGAAACACAGGTTTCAGGGACTCAGCTCACTACCACCTTTCATATGCCACTCACCTTGACACAAAAAAACAGGAAATCAATTGTACAAGTGTATTAAAGCCCAGCCTGCAATATTCCTTACCTTATGATAAGCTTGTCATAGGAGTGGGGGCCTTGACTAACACATTTGGTGTGCCTGGTGTGCAAGAAAATGCATTTTTTCTCAAAGTAATTGTTTTTAAATAAATTCAAACAATTAAACATTAAATAAAAGTTTATTTCTTTTAATAATACTCCCAACTGTTTTATTTTTACTTAATATATTTGTTGTTTTCTTAATTTTCCAATATTTAAACCCCTCAATTTGCTCTATGTATTATAAATGAATCAAGTTTTATACGAGTTACAAAAATTGTTCACAAAAAAAATTGTAAAATATTTTCTCAGGAAATTGCAGATGCAAGAAGAATAAGAAACAGAATCTTAAACAATTTTGAGCTGTCAGTCCAACCTAATATAGATCCAAAAGAACAGCAGAGGCTTCTGCATATTGTGATAGTTGGAGGAGGCCCTACAGGCGTTGAATTTGGTGCTGAATTGTATGACTTTGTAGAACAGGTACTAAAATCTGTTTAACAAAGACTTTTTTTTTACTTTATTAATAAGCTATAGTGGCACATGCTTGTAAAGCATATTGACCATAATATTACAACTTAGTTAGCACAACATGATTTTAGATTTAACTAGCCAAATTGTGTTAATCATTCACTAATGGGGGGGGGGGGGGAACATGTAATATTCATCATACACAATGCATTATTTTAATTAAAATTGACCTATCTTTGGGATATTATTCCTCTCTATAGGAAAGCATACATAAAATAACTCTTTCCCCCCTTACATATTCTAGTTCACGAACACAGTCAATTTAACACTTATAAATATAAATAAATGTCAAAATTCTTTTTAAAGCTAGTTGAAACACATTTTATTTCCTATCCAACATTTATTCTTTAACTTATCAGGATTTGGTCAGACTTTATAAACAACAATCTAAGCAAGTCAGAGTTACTCTTGTAGAGTCCAATAAAATCCTGTCTTCATTTGATACAAGACTTCAAGCCTATGCAGAGAGGAAAATGAAACAGAGGAAAGGTTTCAATCTTCTGCAGTCAACTGTTATAGGTTAGTTTTGCTTGGTTAAATTTTCTTTGACTTATGACATTCAATAAAAAATATTTCCTCTTAAAATAATTATCATTTCTAATTCTGCCTGTATTGCTAAGTCAGTTAGGAACAGCCCTATTAGGCATTCAGGCTATTAGCCTACTATTCTTAACAAAAAAAAACAATTTTAGTTTAGTATTTCTGACCTGCATTCGTAGAAGTAACCAAATTATTTATCAACAATTGTTTTGTTTGTTATTTTCAGAAGTAAAACCTGATAGTGTAAAACTTAAGGATGGCACTTTGATTCCTTGTGCACTTGTTGTATGGAGTACAGGTCTTGCACCACGTGACTTTACAAAAACACTTAACCTCACCAAAAATAAAAGTGGCCAGGTAATTTATAGATATAGAAGGCAAAACCAGTTTTTGTAATGCAATTAAAATTGCTAACATTGTCACTTATTTTTTCATTAGTTGTGTTATTTTTCAGATTATGACAGACAGATACCTCAGGGTGATAGGGGAGTCCACTAAAAATATTTTTGCAATAGGAGATTGTGCAGATATTGAAGAAATGTCATTACCTTGTACTGCACAGGTAAAATACTAGTTAGTTACTTTTTATCCTAACACATTCTATTTTGTGATATAGATATTATGCTTTTACTATTTTTGCTAACTTGATAACAGTAAGAATAATAGTTCCATAAAAATAGCTATGCCGTTATTGGTGTTGGCTTAAGGTTATTTTTACCACAAAATATACATTTTTCTTAGGTTGCTGAAAGGAAAGGACGCTATTTAAGCAAGTTTCTGAATTCAGACTGTAATGAAGAAAAAGTGGGCCCATTTGAATTTAAAAGTTTGGGAATGTTGGCATATATAGGGCATTATCAAGGTGTCAGTGATACACCCCAATTAAAAATAAAAGGTAAATTTGTATTTATACTTCACTGAGTAAGTAATTCCTGAGTTCTTTAAAAGTTTTGTATGATAAATGTTTTTTGTGTATGAATTAGGTGTGGCATCTTGGTTTTTATGGCGTTCTGCTTACCTTACCCGCTTAGGAAGTTGGAGGCTCAGGATGCAAGTCCCATTAGACTGGACAAAGACAATTTTATTTGGCAGAGATATTTCTCGGGTTGAATAATGACACCTATTTTTGTTTTATACGCCCAGATTTTTATAGTTATATGACTAGGATAAAAGCTCTCTCACTTTCTACATGTAGATCTATTAATTCAATTATATTTATTATACTCACATAACAACAAAAAGTAGACTAAAATTAAATTATAGGAAAATAATTTATTTTATTCTTTAAAGTTTCAACATTAAGGCACTTTTAAGTATAAATAAATGATTTACAAATTGTCATTTTTTTTTCCTTGATTCAAGAATGAAATAGGACATAAGTTTTAATTAATATAAACTGGAAGCAACAGTAGTTTTGGCTACTGTAGCTGGTGTCACTTTGATTCTTAATTCTGGAGGTAGTTTATGGTAAATGCAGTCCCTAATATATTTGGCTGGATACTTGTTGGAGAAATGAACTAAAACAATATGGCCGACATCTTTAAAGAGGTCAGCATGTTGGCATAATTCAGAAAGATGAGTGTGACCTCTGTCTCTAGCCTTCTGTACCATATTTTTACCTGTATAAAATAAATATTTTATGTACCACATTATACAACTTATATACAAATCCTAGCATTGAATTGTGATATAAAAATATGTGAATCAATTATGTCCTGATAATAAAATTACTGAAAGTTTTGTTTTGTACATATGCATGTTATTTTTATTTAAACAAGCTACTTGCCCCTCTCTTCGTCCAGAAAAGTTGTTTCAGTAATGAGTATTTTAACATTGAGAAGGTCTGGTGTTGGAGGGTTGGTAAAGATGTCAAATGTTGTATCTCCTGTTAAAAGAACAAAAACAATAAAACATTAACTTGTACACACATTTTGGGGAATAAATAATTACACTTTTATTAAATTGGCACTCCTAATGTATGTTTTTCACCATTAGAAATAATTTCTGAAATAATTTTCACCCCTTAATAAAGATAAGCAGACATAATTTCCAATGAATAAAAATTTTGCACCACACTAGCTGTATGATCATTATGACTAGTTGATTTCCAACATATCAAGTGTAACCTGGTTTTGAATTCTTGGTAAATAGTTTACATATTTTTTTATTTCTTTAATTACACAGATATGTCAACACTATATAATATAAATATATCTTAATAAAAAATAATTTTTGTTGAATACTTGTTAATGTTTTAAATCCTGCTAAGAACGTGAAACCCAAAACCTACCACAGTATGCAATTTCTGGTGTTATGACAATATCATGGATAACTTTCCCTTCTCTATGTAAAGCTGCCACTTCAAATCCTTGCATCCCTTTGTACTCTTGTTTCAGCTTTTTCTCTTCCCTGTAAAGAATGTAACCTTGGCTTGGGATGCGATGAATAGTTGGGAAAGCTTTCACAAAATATCTGCTATTAAGCTGTAACAATTTTTCAAAGATTTTAGAAACTTTATCTATAAAAATAATCAACAAAGGCAAAATTATAACTATGTAGATTTTAATTAAACAAATTTTATTTGATATGTAGACATATACCTATAACTATACAAAAATTAGTATCTATAAGTATAATGGGTGCAGATTTTAAATAATGAAAGAAAAGCTTGAAATTTCCCCCCCCCCCCCTCAAACTTTTGATTTGCGACCCCCCTTTCTCTCATACTTTCGATTTGCACCCCCCCCCCCTCTCTCATACTTTCGATTTGCACCCCCCCCCCCCGCCTACCTAAAACTTTCGATTTTCACCCCCCCTCCAACCCACTTTGGCGCCCCCTAAGGTCGGTACCCGGGGACATATGCCCCCCCCCCCCCCTCGCTACGCCTCTCTTATAAAACTCCCAGCTTGTGCGCAAACCGAAAGATAGAATAATCTATATATATAAAGCAAAGTACCCGACAGGGCACTTCCCGGCGCCGCAGGCGCGTCAAATTTGGCACGATGGTGCCTTGGGGCGATAGAACACGAGGGCCGGTGAAGGTTTGCCGAAAAGTCTACGGACAGGGGGTCAAAACTGACCTCGAGTGACCGGCGCCTTATATGGGCTATATTACGAAAAAAAAATTCCTCCGACGACCCCCATTGATATTTTGTGAGGTGGTAGGAGAACGCGTTGGGGTGTCACAAAAAACTCGCCATGTCCGGGAAAAATCGGGAAACGGGTCAAAACTGACCAGTCGTATTTCCCTATATAATCTTTTTATTTTATGGGAAAAACAGAGGGTAATTTGAAAACGGATTTTAGGGCACTAACCCTCTTTACATCTGGCTAATTTTTGGCATGCTTATGGGTAAATGGCTTGGCCGTAGGGCAGACCTGTCGGGTTGACTCAAAGCCCTCGACGAGGGCTAAAAAGTGAACGCGAGTGAAATTCTCTTTATATGAGCTCTATTACGAAAAAAAATTTCCTCCGACGACCCCCCTTGATATTTTGTGAGGTGGTAGGAGAACGCCTTGGGGTGTCATAAAAAACTCGGCATATCTGGGAAAACTTCGAAAAGGGGTCAAAACTGACCAGTTGTATTTCCCTTTATAATCTTTGTATTTTATGGGGAAAACAGGGTAATTTCTACGTAAATTTTAGGGTACTTACTCTTTGTATAACTGGCTAATTTTTTGCATACACATCTATAGATGACTAGGCCGTATGGAAAAACTGTTGGTCAGCATCAAAGCCCTCGAAGAGAGCTAAAAATGACTGCGAGTGAAATTCTCACTATACGAGATTTGGTCATTTTGTCTATGAGCAGGGGAGGTAACTTTTTAATGTAACAATTGTTTAATATTTTGTATACTCTTTTTAAGAAAAAACAAAAATCATAAAGTATAGAATTGTTTTAAATAGATATTTTGTTATAAATTAAGTTTTGTATTGTATTGAAATTGTAAAATTAATTGCAAAAGCAATTTAATATAGTATTTGATAGATAATTTTTATGAAAGCCCTTTCAGTTCTAATAACCTTGCGAGTAATACGTTTGCGAATATTCCATCAATATATGGGTACAAAAAAAGTACCCCACTGTATAAATTTAGGCCCTAAGCATTTAACATAACAGCCAATCACTTTTTAATTAATCATTCAATTTCTCAACTTTTTTGAAAACCTAAGCGAAGCTAGGCAGTATGCTTAGTAATACATAATATAAATAAATAATAGGCAGTATTTAAAATATCCGTGTTTTACCTACCATATGTCACTTTATCAATTCACGCATTTTTCCGGTACTTTAAATTTTTTAAATTTACAATAGTTTCATAACTAAAACCAATGAACGTGATGACGCGTCTATAATACACTACAGTGGTGCCACTCATTTTTGAAGTGAATCCTGAAAATCCATCCCAAAATTTTACCAATCCTGAAACTAAAACTTGAAATTTTTAAAAGCCTGAAACTTAATTTCCCACGGAATTTCAAAATAAAATGGACTAATATTTCATTCTTTTTGAGACATTTGATTCATATCATGTTCAATATACTTTCCTTTAACGTGGATTTATTTTCTTTGTAACAAGCTTCAAATGAAAATTAATATTTAAAGGATTGAGCATACAAAAAAATTAGTTTACAATGTTAGTCCCATCTCTAGGCCTACCCCATAATGTGTTATTCTAGAACTCCCCCCCCTATGCATGTAAGCCACAATACAAAACAACTGTTTATGTTACAAATACTTTGTTTATTAGGACAGTAGTCACACTTTGTCTTCTATTGGTAATACAGAAATGTGTAGAAATATCTAAGAACTATTTTAGTAGGCCTGAACTCCAACAAATGGTAGGCCTATATTACAAATGTACACTGTTCTATGCCTGCTTTTATATCATAACCAAGTATTTAAGTTTTTAGAAATTCCTATCTTGATTTAAAGTGTGAAGTCAGCCAACTGTTAAGTAACAAATATTTTACTAACCTCTACTTCTTGTTATTGAATAATAAGCCCACTATATGCACGACCCCTACTTAGATTGTCACTGTATTAAATACACGGTTGACTTACTGTAGTTATTTAGGGCTTTAATTATTAACAGCCACAACAAAAATCTAAAACCCTGTTTTCCCAATTAACAACCAATGGGGTTATCCATAAATGGATGACTCCATTGGATCAAGCTTTTTTGACGATTTTTACCTCCTCCTCCTTCCGTCACAAAAAGCCAGACCCAATTCCCTAAAATGACATCACACCTAAGCCTATAACCCACCTCAAAATTGCAGTTGAATTTTTCTTAAAATACGATATTTTTCCAAAATCTTGTCTGAACTCTGTCAACATAGAGTATTTTAATCGTGAAATAACGACTAAAATTCGCTTTCTAACAATGCAAAAGTGTGATGTCACACCATCTGAACCTACCCCCTCCCCACACACCGTCACAAAATTACGGACCCCCTCCCCCTTCGAGTGTGACGTCATTTATGGACGACCCCAATCAGTAGCGTACGCAGGGGGAGCGGCCGCTCCCCCTCTGGCCATTTTCAGTAAAGTGGCGCCTTTTTGGAAACTTTTTAAACTCAAAAGTTTAAAAAAAATATTTTTGTTAAAAAATTATTTTTGGTCGGCACATCTATGTAAATCACAAGATTTCTTTTTATTCAGCAATTACGCAGAATTGTACTAGTCTAGTAGCGTCTACCTTTACAACACGTATTAACAGCTGTATCAAGTTTGTCATTCTAAAAATAACCATTACGATGCATAGCAATTTTTAAAAAAAACCTCTACCGGTAGTACCACTTGGCAAGAGGGGTGTTAAGTTTAAGGCAACTGTATAATGTATTTGCCTAAGAATAATTGATCTAGAAAATATTATACTTAAATCTTCACACATAATTACTTTATATATACAGTTTTAATCGTGTAATTAATTTTTAAAAATTACAATACAGACTCAAATACAACTGATGTGGCACCTCCATTTAAATTTACTTATGGGCAAACTGCGTAGTATGGGGAAATTTTGACAACATCATCACGATGAAGTAGTAGTATTATGACAGTGTGGGCGATAGTGATTACGAACCCCCCTCCCCCATGGACCCCTCTGCTACTTATTAAAATCTATTTCTGAATCAGTATATATTTGTAATTGAATTATATGCATGTTTAGAACAGTCATCTAAAAACTGATGCTATGTTCACTCTGAGTTGGTTAACGCGTAACGATGTACCAAAGTACCATGCCGCCAGAATCATAGCTTTTGAAACAAGTAAAACTCTGTGAATATTGTTTTTGCAATTACCAGTAAAAAGGTGTGTGATCAATACAGTTTTCTAACCCATACCTGATCACTATGTTGAAAAATGATCTTTAAAGAACACAAAAAGTCAGTAGCTAATTAAAAAGTGCATGATCTGAACTAAATGACCGATATTTTAGTAAAATGTAAGGTATTATTCCGAATGGTCTTTTTCTATATTTTAAAGCGTGTTTTTATACCAACTTTGATTTTAAAAACTTTAATTATGCTGTAATACTTTAGCATTTATGATGACGATATATTTAATTCTGATTGTAGACACACAAAAAATTGTAAATACGAATATTGTCAAACAACTTTATTACATTTTAAAGTAATTATTGATTTGTTTTGACATTTCTAATTAAATGTGTAGTTATATACATATTTAAATTAAGAGAGTGATTATTTCCCCTATTTTGCTTGTCTTAATTAATGTCTCAGGAAATATTATGTCAAAATATTTTACAAGAATTACAAAATAGATTGTTTTGCGTTTATTGTTTTTGGTTGAAGTATATATATATATATATATATATATATATATATATATATATATATATATATATATATATATATATATATATATATATATATATATATATATATATTAGATTGATACATTTTTTGTTTTGTCGGCCTACATTGTGTGTTTTTTCTTATTTCTTCAAGTGCTACTTACAATTTATTTTACATCATAGCGAAGTCATGAGATACAGCTAGTAATTATATATATATATATATATATATATATATATATATATATATATATATATATATATATATATATATATATATATATATATATATGTATATATATATATATATATATGTTATGAGTGTTGTGTTTGTTTTTTCGTTTGTGTTGTTGTTTTTTTTTTTGCGTTCGTTTGTTTTGTGTTTAGTTTTTTTTTCTGTTCCCAAGTTGGTACATTTAAAAAAGATTTTTATATAATTCACGTATATAGAACGGCTTAAAAATTTGGCGCCTTTTTTTGCTCATTTCGCTCCCCCTACAACGAAAACCTGGATACGCCTCTGACCCCAATGTCCCCACCTATAATATACATGATGACGTAAAGAAATTTCGTGTAAGTTTTAAGTTAGTTCATATCGCGGAATGACAGAAGTAAGTTGTTTTTTCTACTAAGAAATAATTTCAGAAGTAACTACGC